CAGAGACAGTTTTGGTTTGTAGTAGTTCTCTCCCGTGGAGATTATTTTCGGTTTCAAATCGCGGCTTGGCTCATCAATCATCAACATTGGCTAAAACTATAATAGCAAAGCGTTTTCACTCATGTTTTTGCAAAAACATCTTTGCTTACAAGATTAATTACGATTGACACTGAAACATTTGCGATAACCCGTAAAATGAGCAATTTTATGGGTGTATGACGAAGCTGAGATACGACGGACTAGCGCTGAACCCTATCTAATGTCTGAAATTTAGAGATCTATAAGCCCCTAAATTTTGAGATTTCTGTTTTTGAAACTGCGATTTTTTTAACGGGCTAGTTTATCTCAAGGTGAAATTGCGAAGTGTGATATGAATGAGGACTCTTTAAACAAACCTTTGCTTCTAACAATTTTACGGATTTCCAGTTTGTTTAAATTTTCCGCAAATTGTCAACGATTAAGGATCTTATTTAGCGGAATTTTGATTACAACATGATTTCCAAATCATATGATTGAAAGATTTCGTAAACAACGCTAGTTTAATAACTCTTATTATTAAAAAGACTGACTGCTGAAGTTCATAGAAACTCCCTAAAGTTCGTAGAACTTCCCCGAAGCGTTATTGTTAAGGTCTATCCTGAAGGGTTCATTGAAGTTTGTATTGCCTGAATTTCATGGGACTTCCCCGAAGTTCGAAGGACTTTTTTTAATATCTTAGGGCTTCCCTGAAGTTCGAAGTTTTTTGAAATTAATAGGAATTTCTTAAATATCGTAGAAGTACCACGCAGTTCGTAGAAATTCTCAGAAGTTCGTAAGACTTCCTTCAAGTTCGAAGAATTTTCTCGAAGATCTGAGGACTTCCTTGAAGTTTGAAGGACTTAACTGAATATATGAGGACCCTAAACTTAGAAGAGCTTCCCTGAAGTTAATAAGGCTTTAAATATCGAAGGGTTTTCCAAAAGTTTGTGGGTCTTTCCTTAATTTCTTGGAAATTCCCTGAAGTTTGGAGAGTTCCCATGAATGTCGTAGGACTACCTGTAGTTCAATCGACTTCTCGGAAGTTTTAGGAACTTTTTTGAGCTTGTAGAACTATGTTAAGTTCAGAGGACTTCCCAAGAGTATTGAAGACTTCTTTGAAGCTCGGAAAAAATCCTTAAGTGTCATAGGATTATCCTTAAGTTTTGAGCAATGCCTAAATGTCGTAGAAGTTACATTAAATCAAAGATTAAAGGACTTCCCTGAAGTTCGTAAGACTTCTCTGAAATTTGTAGAACTTCTCTGAAGGTTCGAAGAGATTTCCTGACCGTCGTAGGTCACCCCAGTAGTTCACAGGATTTTCCTGTAAGACTTTCCCGAATTTTGTAGAACTTGCATGAAGCTCGAAGGCCTTATCTGAAGTTTTTAGAAATAGAAATTTTTTATTGAACATGTTGAACAGGTACTTCAAAGTAGTTACGCGTCGGCACTGCTTAAGTCTGCTATCAATTAAGCACAAATCATACATGCTATTGATTCGAGAAAAAAAAATAAATTAAAAATAAATACAATATAAATTTACTAAATTCTAAGGGTAAATTTTGTTCATCAATGTTGGTTGTGTGAAAGATTTAGCTTGAACAAAATGGTTAGTTTTGACCTGATTATAAAAAGAAACTTTGACATACATAAAATTTAAAACCTATTTAAATTATATAAACAAGATTATTTTCCTGGTGGACTTATGAAATTCCTGGTTTTTTTCCCGGTTTTTCCTGGTTCACTTGCCACCCTGGATTTTGAAGATAAATGTAGAGTGAATGTCGAGAGTTTTTTTTAAGGCAATTGCTCAGGTGTTCTACACTGAAATCCGAGAAATTTCTCAGGAATTTCGGATTATTGAGATTATTAAGGCAATCCTGAAAGTAAAACTAATTCTAAATACATTTTAGAATGATCCTATGGAAATCCTAAGATATTTGCAAAGATATCCTGAGAAAGTTCAAAAGAAAAAAATAAGTAAATTCAAACGTTGAAAAATATCTAGGTTCCGTACCTACACAGAAATACAAGATCCAGGATTAACACAAATTTTCAAGATTCTTTAACTTTGATTGAGACCAGGGCTGGAAAATATCACGGCCGTCATGTGACGATTAGAAAACAGGCCCTCTCACTATCACGAGACGAAGCTACCTATCATTAGTTTTCTTGTCATTTTTCAATGATCAAGCACTCAGGAAAATAAGTCTTATGCGATTTTGACATCAACATTTCTAACAGATTTAGATGAATTTAAGCAAACAACCGTATGTAATTGGTAGAGAGAATATATTATTAAAATTTCCTTGGTACAAGTAACTTTAATAACATTAAATGAACTAGTAATTGCGATGATTACAACACTGTCACGCTGTCATAAAAAAAATCAATGACATTTTGACGATAATCTCTATCATCGTTTTCTCATCCAATGATAGTAACAGAAGTATCTCTGTAAATATCGCATGAGATCTTTCATTGAAAATGACATTTGCCAGCCAAATTTTAGACGAAATTTCAAGATCCAGGTCTCGATAAACTGTTGATTATGGGGCTAGAAATTTCAGAAAGGTGTAACAATAAGAAATGTGTGATCTCAAGCTTGGAAATATCTGCAAGTGTATTCCCAGAAATGGATGTATTTTCCAGATTCTGTTACGTGAAAAGTTAAGTTCTAGCCAACGTTAAATTAACAAAAAATATTCAAAATGTCAGACTCAGATTTTTTTGGTATCCTTTACGATGGATCAGTAAAAAAATCTGGACTTGAAGAAATATTCGAGATACAGATTTAGATTTAGAATAATTATTAACCTAATTCAATTAGGTAGGGTCAAGGTGTGGGAGTTACCTCGCTGGTGTCGGTAGCATTTGTGCTCAGCATGGAAAACTAAATCAAGGAAAAAAAAATGAATTTTCATCTTTTACAATATACACAAAATTAAATTCTCGTTAGATTATCCTGAAATTTTGCATTTGGGAAAAAAGCAGCAAAACAATATCTTATAATAAAAAAAATAATTACGACCGGTTCGCTCCACTGTGTATTGTGCAGTTGTATAAAATAGCAAAATCATGAGCTCAATTCGATAGCGGCTTAGTATCTATTCGATTTACTAGCGTTGAACGTAAAACTGTTCCCCTCATGTATATAGGAAATCTTAAAGCACATGGGACAGTTATGCGTCTTCCGGCAGTTTAAAGCTCATAGTAACTTGGAAGAGTTGTTTATATTGTTGTTCCCCATTATATACCTTGTATGCCAACATGAATGCATGAAATTTGTGTGGCAAGCACAATGATACTCTATGCCCAGGTAAGTTGAGAAAAGTTCCAACCAGAGATATTTCCTTGACCGGACTAGGCTATCTGAGGTCCCTTCATGTGTCCGACGTGTGGATGTAAACATAATAAAAAAAAATCTATTATTTCACCGTGAACAACTCCGTCAACAAATCAATCGGTACTTTATTTCATTAGCTGTCCACAAAAGCAATAACGTGCTTCCAAGCAGACACATTTTACCTACTGTGAGAGCAGAAACAAACTCGTCGATTGCACTATTCACGGAATGTCACGACCGTCACGACTTGCATCAATTTGTCTGAGAATATTTTCACTTGTTTCCCAGAGAGTTTCAACCTCACTCGAACTAACGGTGAGCAGCATAACAGCGGCAGCAGCACCTTGCTGTACTATCAGCAGGATCCGTCGTTTTCGTGTGTGGAAGAGAAAAGCACACATACTCCACTGTTCGCACTTTTTTTGGGACTATCAGCAGCAACACAGCAGAAGCAATAATCAATATCTTAAAAGCCATTTTCTCCCTGTCAGCTTTTTCACTAATTTCGAGGCATTTCAGGTTTCATCTGCGTAGCACTCAATCCACATCATGTTAAACATTGTATATCCTGAACTCTAGCAGAATTTGGCTGAAACTGTAAGCATTTCCCTATAAGCTTGACCGGGCAACGTCCACTAAATTTTATATAAATCGAACACCGACAGCATCACGAAGACTGCTACGACGTCGATGACGGCGGCGGCACCACGACCGACGATGGAATTGATAAATATGCACACAAAAGTACAAGAGCACGGAGAGTATGGTCTAGCTAGGCAACAGCATCGAGAGTATCTTCTGATCCGGCGACAATGACGATACTCAAATTCTCCGGGCACGGCATGAAATGTTTGAACTTTTGATCGACTCGTTTTCCCTGGACGATAGAGGAAAGCAGTAGGTATAAGCAAACAATTTGGGAAGAGGCTGTTATCCATCGAATTCCGGATATAACAGTAAATCCGATGTACATAAATGAGTACAATTTTTATTTCCAGTACCTACTTGATGTGAATTAGTATTTATTGGAAATTTAACTAAGACGTCCTTGATGCAAAGCGTTTGTGTTGATCATGCACTGTTTACGTTCTCCTTTTACGTTACTGGCAACAATTTTCGGTATTCTGTAATATTGCACTTCCTCTCGCTCTCCAGAAAAAAAGAAAAAAAAATAATAATTTCTCAGATCAAATGAAAAAATAGCAAGAAATCAATTTTGTCCCTGAAGACTGACTAATTGCTCTTGTTAAATTGTTACAATGTACAGTTTTCAAATTCTCTGTGACAGTTCAAAGAAATGCATTACAATACAAATAAGATGCTATTTCTACACAAATCTAAGCAATGAGTGACGGCAGCCCTGCAGTGGCTCAAAGCTTGTATTCTTTTTCCTCTGTCTTATAAGTTTAGTTTCCAACGACGGTCTGCCTCACACTCGTATGAGCTTTCCACATTACAAGGGTAAACTTTAGCATGTTTGCCTTTGTTGGGCTGCTATTGCTCAAACCTGGTAAATTTCTCTCCTTGTCTCTCTTTATTTTATGCATCAAGTTTAGGATCTTAACACCGAAAAAGATGCCATGCGATCCTGATTTGACACTTTCGAGTTTCGAATCCGTCGCCAATCGATAATACTAACTTATCATCGTCCTGCTTGAATTCCAGAGTGAAAAAGGGAAGCAAAGCACTCTCGTCGTCCATCTCATTTGCAATCATCGATCTTGTCTGCGTTTTATTATTTTTCACTGTATACCTATATATTCATTCGCTGCTGACCGTTTTCGATTCAGAAATAGCCTTCAACCTCGCCATCACTGTGGCCGAGTTTGCTTGCGAACTGCTGGCATTGATTGTGCTCATGCAAGACACATTTGCGGAATCCGTAATGTATGTTCACAGTTGCCTTCCAGAATTGCATTTTTCTTTATAAATACACTACACTTCACTGTTCATTAAAAAACGACTCTGATCAAATCATAACAGTTTATAGCCAGCAACATCTTCTGGCAGTAGCAAAAGATGTCAGCACCAACTTGGAGGAACAGTCTCGAGAGGAAGCAGAAGTAGCAGCGCGTAAGCTTTTCGGTCGGAGACTCACTCTGCTGCTCACAATCTCAAATCGAATCGAATCGGCTGGTTCTTCCGAAAAGTCAACACACAACACCAGCAGCCAAGCTGAAAGCACTATGCGCGACCGACCAACCACCAACACTCAAGCGAACACTTCACACATACTGCGTCCCGACGACGGAAAAGCATCCGTATCCGAACAGCACCATAGGCCAGCCAGAAGCACGGGAGCAATAAAAAAATAATCGAAAAAATGTCAGTCAGGACAGGAATAATTGACCCGTTTAGAAAAAAGCGAAGTTTCGCAACAAAACTCCATTTTCCACTGCTTAAAACTATCACAATCAATTCAACTCACGCTTAACTACACTTACGTACCATTTTCAACTTGCTTGTGATGATTTTTCTACTTAAAAGAAAGGAATTTTTCGTCAGCCATTAATGTGCCAGAGAAACCAACAATTAGACATATTTTTATTATTGACAGTGCTGCTAGTTCAGCAATATGCGACTTTGCAAAGGGGTGTTGGCTAGTTGGTCGAAAATACATTCAAGGTAATTATACACGCTAATTCAAAACTTCCCCAATTGTTGTCAGATCTGTCAAAACTGAGCCTACCCAAAAATGGGTAAACTATGTTGGAAGTGACAAGTTGATAAATTAACAAAGTCGATCGGATTCATGTCGATGTTGTCAATTTGTCAACTTGTCACTCGCAACATAGTTTAGCCATTTTGGGTAGCTTCAGTTTTAACCGATCTGGGTGGATTCTACCCAAATTTGAGTAGTTTTAAAATAGCGTTTAAGCTAGGGAGAGACAACTGCACTAATAGAATTCCACACATTTTTATTGACGAATTTCCATGTAAAATTCCACATGATTTTCATGTGACCACACATAAACAGATTCCACCCAGAAGCACACATGAAATTTATGAGTAAAATGAATAGTACGTGTGGTTACACATGGCTTTTACGTGTACACATATTAAGTATGTGTTCGACACATAGCTATCAAAAAATGTGTAAATTTGAAGATCTTAAAATGTGTAAAAAATACACAATTTAAGAATGTAGTATTAGTCAGAAAATGTGTATTTTTATACTCATTATTGTTGATTGCACGAATTTTTAGACTTCTGCGAGAAGATTTCAGTGACAGTTATGCTTGCGCACTCACTAATACCAACAATCAATACGAAACTAACGATTTTAAATTGGCTCACCACTTTAGTAGCCTATTGGTCCCAAGCAAACGATTAACGTACCCTATTCTAGTTGAAATTCTATTACTACACTATGTTTGTTTTGATTCGCTATGAAAGTTTGACAGATAACATCAGGGGTGTGTGGATTCATGCAGAACATGCAGGGGTGAGTGAAATAGCTTGGGACTGCTTGGGACCGTTGTTCTGGTACTGAGTGAGCCAAAAATAATAATGATTTTCTTCGGGACCCAGTGGTCTTAGAGTTACCTCTATGCTAATACTACTTAATCCTTATGTCAGACAGGGTTAGCAGCAAACCATCAAAACCAAAACAAAACAAAATAAAATTTCTCACGATCTGTCAAATCACAAGCCAACTAGGCTATCCAAGACAAGGAGAGGAGGTCTGGCAATGTGCAGCTTGTTGTTTTTTCCTTCGCTCGCATTCGAATGGAACAGTGAGTTTGACGTCACACTTGTTGTTAAATGGTAACAGTAGGGGAATGAAAGAGACTATAAAATTAGCATTGCCCGATCTTTCTCTTTGACATAGCTAGGCTACGTTTGTGTGAGTAAGAGATAGGCGTACGCTGGGTGTGCGAAAATATTCACTGTGCAGAAATTTTCTGCACAGTTGTCTAAGAAGGTGCAAAATGCGCAATAATGGGTCAAAAAAAAACTTCAAACGTTGCTGTATCCTGCCTTGTTTACGCACGTCATTTGTATATATTTCAGTGAAGTACAACAGGAAAATGCAGGAGCTACGGACCAAGCTGGACAGTGCAACGATGGACATACTAGAGGGTAGGTGATTTATACTATTTTTAGTTAAGTTTTAGAAAAAAAAATCATATTCACTATATCGATGTCTCACTTGCTTGCTTCATTCTGATTTTAGTTTTTTTCCTTGATTTGTTTTCCGTGCTGAGCACCAATGCTTCTGACGACAGGAAGGCAGCTCCCGCACCTGGATGCTACCTATCGATCCATCAACTCATGAACCGGGGACCTATGGCTTTACTTCCCTTCCGAAGGAAGGCGTGATTCTCGGCGTGATTCTCGGCGTGATCAGAGATGTTATGCCTCAGAACATCCCAGCGGTGCCGACTGGGATTGAACCCAGGCCTGCTGGGGTAAGAGGTAATCACGCTTATCACTGCACCACCGGCGCCGCTACTGATTTTTTTGATGGCATTCCTTTTTTTTAAATAAAATATTATTGTATTCGAGCAATCTTTATTTTATCATTGACACAAATAAGAAAATTCCGAAGTTAATAAAAAACCATGTGCACCCATTATATTTAAGTTCTAGAAATGATTACTTTTTACACATTTTGCTGTAAAAACCGTTCTTGAAAAATGTGAAAAAAATACACTTCTATTGACGTTTGCTGGGTTTACACTTTGACGTTTGCTGGGTTATGAGTAGGCCCCTTTTTTCACGAAATGTGTGAAATTTTACACATTAATGTGTTTACGCTGTTTACCGTACAGGCGACATCTTATCCATTTGACAGGTCTTCTACTCGATTTGAATAACTTTTCCTACACCGAACCGAATTTAGTTCATTTTTTAAATCAAAAATATAAATTTTCCTACACACAAAAAATTATCGTTAATATAATTGAAAAAAACATTGTTAGAATTAAAAGTTATCATTGGTTCTTTTTGGTAGAAAGTACAGAGCTTTAAAAATAAAAAGCTGAAACTTGTCAAATTAAAAGTTTCCCTCATTGTTAATTTTAAAAGTTGAAGCTTTTGAATCAAATTGTAGAACCGTCAAAATAAAAACCAAGGTTTTTAAAATGACATATGAATTGTTTCCTCGATTGTTTCACTTCAAATGATGCCGTTTTCAGAGTAGTAATATTTATTTTTATCGCAAAATGAAATTATTTTCAAATTAAGAGTTCTTAAGCTTAAAAAGAAAGTATTCAAACTCATATTCTTATCATTTCTAATAATTATGTATATTCATCATATAAATCAATAAATAAAAATCACTTTATTATTCGTATGCCATTCATCGCATCGTCAAATGCCATTTATGATATAAAGGAAGTGACACTTTGGCAAACGGAGCCTTTTTAACAAATTCCCAGCACCACTCCAGGGTAGCGTAATACATGTTCCGTGTGAATCTGGTGCCCTACTAGAGAAATTCAATTTTCAATCGATGATCTAACGAAACAGCATTCTTCCAACAATCAATACGAAACTAACGATTTTAAATTGGCTCACCACTTTAGTAGCCTATTGGTCCCAAGCAAACGATTAACGTACCCTATTCTAGTCGAAATTCTAGTACTACGCAATGTTTGTTTTGATTCGCTATGAAAGTTTGACAGATAAAATGAGGGGTTATTGGTTTTTCCTATGTTTCGAGGGGTGAATCGATTAGCTTGGGACCGAAGAGAGTACCAGAGCTGAGCCAAAAAGTTGAGCACGTTATTTCGGGACCTTCTAGTCTTAGAGTTACCTCTATGATTCTTCCCCGTTGGAGACCTTCCGTTTGAAGTCCAAATTAGGCTTTTCCGGCGGAACAACCACAGCTGATGCAGTGAACTTACTCCATCAGTTCCGCTGGTTGTGGACGATGGGATGGAGCAAACTGTTTCGGGAAAACAGTGATGATCTTCAGTGGGAGTCTATATGAATGTCGAAAAACAATATAAATGTGAGTTAAATGGTTTTCCCAATAAAGAGATCCATTAAACCAACAATAACTTCAACGATTCACAGATTGACTTACTTTTAAAAATTTGTTGTCCCAAATTTCTACAGCAGACGGCTGACCAAATTTCCACTATCGGAAAAGGCGGTAAATGAGAGTTCAGTGCTGCCAGTAAAAACGACCTCTAAAGATGTATTTTTGACAGTTGTACAACTTTACTTTCAAAAAATGCACTTTTAAATTTACAAGTCGGAAGTGAAAGAAAAACTTTTAAGGCGAAAAGATAAATGTTATGTTCAATATTTTCGCAGTTGAAACTACGGATTTTGGGAAACTTTTAATTTGAAAATGCATCATATTTATTGATACAATTTTAGTTTTTTGTGTGTAGTCTGATACTGGTGATGTTATGTTGCATTAATTTAAGATTTCGAAGTTGATGCATTTTGGTTATGTGTCAAAGGGCGAGGGGGCGACACATCTAAATCTCAAGTTTAGATACTTAACAAATCTCCAACTAGCGAATCAATCTTCGAAAAATCTTCTTTCATTTCTCGCATCTACTTGCATCGCGCATCATCTTTTTGCAGGAAATCTTCAGAATCATCGTCAATCTTCTTTCACAATCTTTCCTGCATCGTAGATAGAGTCGTCCCCCTCGTCAAAGGGTTAGGTTTGATTATTGTTACTTACGGGTTAATAATAGTTTTAATCTGTTCAATTATATCTGTCAATATTGTTTGTTCATTATTTGTTTCCTTTTCGATCAATTGTTCGTTATGTCTGATGATAGTATCCTGGATTGTTTTGATTTTGTTCATTAATGTGCCAAGGTTCAGTTGTTCAAGTAGTTTTCCTTTAACATGCTTTACAATAGTTTGGATGTCTGTAACTGGTACTATAGTGTTTGGTTGTAGTTGTGATTGTTTTTCCTGACTGTTATTGTCTAGGTTTAGTTTATCTGGTTCTGGAAGGAGTGGAAAGTCTAGTGGGGACCCTAATAAAAAATTACCATAAACGAACGATAACCCTAATGATTGAACTATTCCACTAATGGTTTGGATGATACCCCGAACACGTCGTTAAGCAAATTAACCATAACATTTTTATTAGGGGACTGTAGCCTCCCTAATAAAAATTGTATGGTTAATTTGCTTAACGACGTGTTCTGGGTATCATCCAAACCATTTATGGAATAGTTCAATGTTTTGGGTTATCGTTCGTTTATGGTTATTTTTATTAGGGCTGTTTTGAACTGATTTTTGTCTAGGGAATTTCTTTGCTGCTTCTGCAAAAGTGAGTCTTTCAGTTGCCTTTGTATGTAGTATTTTGTCTTGTCTTACTCTTTCGTTACAGTTCCTGTCATTAGCTTTATGCGGTCCAGCACAGTTTATGCGACGTGGTTGTGACCCACATGCATTACTGTCATTTTCCATTCCACAAACGACATATCGTGATTTTATACTTTTACAAGGTTTGATCTTATGACCATAGCGCCAACAATTTAAGCATGTTTTAATAGGAAAAAATGTAGAAATCCACCTTCGCTAGTATTCCAAAAATAGAAACCTCCTGTGATAGTTCCTGTCCTTCAACGTAAATTTAGATACTGTATGTCGGTTTGAGTTGATTATTGACCATTTTTTTAATCCTTTCTACCTTTGTGATCTTTTTCTTTCCTGCCTGAATGTTGTCTTGTATTTCCTGTTCTGAGAGAGAGGGTGGTACATTTCGAACTACTCCTATTGTCTGCTTTAGCATGTTTGGTATGTAGATTTTGAAGTGGAATTCATCCTTCAACAATTTTGAGTTAATCAGTTGTTCAGCATCCTTGGGTCGGTTAAAGGTGATTCTGAATCGACCTTGTCCCGCACTTTTTAGTTCCTTATACTTTCGAATTTGAACGTTGTGCAAAATTTTAACCATTTCCATTTGATGTATTTGTTTATCTTCATTGCTTTGTCGTTCTATGAAAAAATTGGTGTGTGTGATGTTTCTTTCCCACATACTCTTAGTTGTACCCGAGGTTGTACCAACAATCAATACGAAACTATCGATTTTAAATTGGCTCACCACTTGACTAGCCTATTGGTCCCAAGCAAATCGATTAACGTGCCCCATTCTAGCATAAATTGCAGTACTACATGGTACTACCAACAATCAATACGAAACTAACGATTTTAAATTGGCTCACCACTTTAGTAGCCTATTGGTCCCAAGCAAACGATTAACGTACCCTATTCTAGTTGAAATTCTATTACTACACTATGTTTGTTTTGATTCGCTATGAAAGTTTGACAGATAACATCAGGGGTGTGTGGATTCATGCAGAACATGCAGGGGTGAGTGAAATAGCTTGGGACTGCTTGGGACCGTTGTTCTGGTACTGAGTGAGCCAAAAATAATAATGATTTTCTTCGGGACCCAGTGGTCTTAGAGTTACCTCTATGGTACTACCAACAATCAATACGAAACTAACGATTTTAAATTGGCTCACCACTTTAGTAGCCTATTGGTCCCAAGCAAACGATTAACGTACCCTATTCTAGTTGAAATTCTATTACTACACTATGTTTGTTTTGATTCGCTATGAAAGTTTGACAGATAACATCAGGGGTGTGTGGATTCATGCAGAACATGCAGGGGTGAGTGAAATAGCTTGGGACTGCTTGGGACCGTTGTTCTGGTACTGAGTGAGCCAAAAATAATAATGATTTTCTTCGGGACCCAGTAGTCTTAGAGTTACCTCTATGGTACTACCATAGAGGTAACTCTAAGACTAGTAGGTCCCGAACAAACGAGCTCTACTTTTTGGCTCAGCTCTGGTACTATCTTCGGTCCCAAGCTAGTCGATTCACCCCTCGAAACATAGGAAAATCCAATAACCCCTCATTTTATCTGTCAAACTTTCATAGCGAATCAAAACAAACATAGTGTAGTACTAGAATTTTGACAAGAATGGGGTACGTTAATCGATTTGCTTGGGACCAATAGGCTAGTCAAGTTGTGAGCCAATTTAAAATCGTTAGTTTCGTATTGATTGTTGGTACTACACTATGTTTGTTTTGATTCACTATGAAAGTTTGACAGATAAAATGAGGGGTTAGTGGATTTTCCTATGTTTCGAGGGGTGAATCGATTAGCTTGGGATCGAGGGAAACTGGGACTACCCATTTATGAGTAATTACAACTACAAAAACAAGTAGTAAGTATTCATTTTTGAATAGCAAATATTCATAAATAGGTAATATATTTACTCATTGAATGGGTAGTCCCAGTCTCCCTCGAAAATGCTTACTTTGTAGTCATTATTGGGTATTTTGCGATTACCCTGTAGAATGGGCGGGTTTGGAACAAAGTTTGGAAATGACTGATTTCGACACATGATCGCCCATTACTAAATTCTAGTACTACATTACAATTGACAGATTTTTGTCGAAAACGCGAAGAAACCGAAGAAACTGTCTTTAGTGATCTGGTTCCAGGTTTTTTGTTGAATAAAATTTCGGCTTTCAATTCCTTATTCCGTATTAAGTAACTTATAAATTGTGGAAAATGGGTGACAAAAGTGATCAAAGCATTATGGATAAATCCATGCGTTCCGTGTTCGGTAAGTATGGCAGAACTTTGCTTGAGAAATTCAGCGTCAGTAAAAAAATGATTGTCTATTTGTGTTTACTGTAGTCGGCAACATTCCCTACGAAGCCACGGAGGAAAAACTGAAGGATATATTTAGCGAGGTGGGACCAGTTATTTCGTTGAAGTTAGTTATTTCGAATCACTATATTTAAATGATAACGTTTAATGTTTTTTTTTCTTCGAAAGGTTAGTGTTTGATCGCGAAAGTGGCAAACCAAAAGGATATGGTTTCTGCGAGTATAAGGATCAGGAAACTGCACTCAGTGCCATGCGTAACCTGAACGGATATGAAATCGGAGGCCGTGCTCTGCGTGTGGATAACGCTTGTACGGAAAAATCTCGCATGGAGATGGCCGCTTTGCTGCAAGGTCCGCAGATTGATAATCCGTACGGGGATCCATGCGATCCATCTCTGGCTCCAGAAATTGTCACCAAAACTGTAGTTTCCTTACCGCCAGAACAGATGTATGAATTGATGAAACAGATGAAAACCTGCTTTCAAAACAATCCTGTAGAAGCGCGTCAAATGCTGTTGCAAAATCCTCAAATGGCTTACGCATTACTTCAAGCGCAAGTCGTAATGAGGATTGTTGATCCTGCTACGGCTGTTACTTTTCTCCATAAGGCAAACCAGATGCCACCTATATTGAGCGGTGATACAATGAGTATTCCGCAATCGCAACTTTCGCCTATACCGTTGCCGGTACCAGCTCCGATGCCAGTTCCACCAGTCAGTGGACCTGCGGCTTTTGTACCCAGCGTTGGGCATGACGTTGACCTGCGCAATGTAGATCCACGTTTGGGACGGATTAACTTGGATCAGGATATGCGTTCTTTACCTACAACTGGTGGAATACCTTCTGCGATGGACAATCAATTCAATCAACGCGCTGCGCCACCACCACGTCCAATTGGCCCCCAAGCGCCTCCACAATCAAGTCCGTTCCCAGTTGACCCACGTCAGCGTCCGGTGGACCCTCGCCAAGGTCCCAAAGATCCGCGTCAACAACCTGGGGGATCTAACCGACCACCAGTTCCACCATCATCGTCTTCGATGGCCGCCGCTAGCGCAGCAGCTGCTGCTTCGTCCAACGGCATTCCAAATGATGCTTCAGATCAAGAGAAAGCTGCTCTCATCATGCAGGTTTTGCAGCTTTCGGATGAACAGATTGCAATGTTGCCCCCAGAGCAGCGAACCAGCATTCTGGTTTTGAAGGAACAGATTGCAAAGAGCACACAGCGTTGAAATGCTTGAAGGATCCTGATTATGGCTTTATCCTATTGTGTAATTTGTGCATGGTGGATATCAATTCAATAAAAAGTTAATCCTAAAATAGTTTTGTGTATCATTATATGCTATGCTTTACAATGGGTTACCCTGATTGACCAGCGAACCGGGAAATAGCCGGAAATACGGATTTACCGGGAAAACCAAGATCATTCTCTCTCTGGAAACAAATACAAATAAGATTCTGGACCTTGGGAAATTCTCAGAATTATTGGACTTGAACAATTACTAATGTCACGTTGAACAATTATGGAAGAATTTCAAAGGAATTTTGAATAGTATATAATATATATGGGTCATTCCAGCTCAAGTGGGTACAGAATTTAAAAAAGTTGTGGTCGATGTTACCGATTTGAGCCAAACTTGGCCAAAACGCTTATTTTGGCATTCTGAACAAACGCCTTTTTTGATTTTGCTCTAAAGTGCCTTGATCCTTCTGGGATACAACCCTGGATTTTCGAGATTTTTAAAAATTTCAACTTTCAAAAGAAATTACTCCACAACCAAATAAGCTATTCGTGACCTTAGAACGTCAATTTGAAGGTTTTTTAATGTAAATCCTTATTTAAGTACAAGCATTTTTTTATAGTAACTACAGTAAACAGACTGATTACCGGCAGGTATCCAAATTGTCAAAAAATGGCCTATTTTCACCATAGGCGGGATTTTTTATTTCTTAATATTTTGGGCTCAAATTTCCACCACACCTTGGAAAACTCTTGTACTTGATGTGTTTCCAAGGGTAAATGATTTGGACAAATAGTTTTTGAGATATGACAAGATGAGTGAGTGGTAGTTTTGAGCTTTTTTGGTGGAAAATCAATACCATTTTTTTTTTCTTGAATTCCTTCACGCCGATGGCACAATCATATTTTTATGTTATTTTTCACATGTTCTGCCTCATTTATTTACTTCTGTCCATAATTTAATTGTGGTCCTAAAAGTGAAAAATACGTTCCTATGGGATACAGCCAAAACGTGACGTACGATGAAATCAGATAGATTAGCAGATATATAAAATTTCAGTTGTGGATGAAAGTTGCTACTTGAATAATACCCTTAGTCGAGTAATTAATCTCACGAGCAAGAATGCTTTTATATTATAGTTATAAAGAAAAATAAACGTTGAACCTTCATTTTTCATTTTTTGAAAACACACTTTCCATTCATGTACGTGACTGTCATGTTCTTTTCTTCTACGCATTTGAAGCTAAGCACAGATAACAGTTGCAGACTTATAATTATGCCTAAATATTAGCATAGATTTTTAGGCTTGCAAAAACAAAACAAGTAGTAAGTTGTGTTTGTGCTCAGAAGACAAAATTTGCCTGTGACATAAGAAGAGGTATATTTTCAACGTTGGGAGCACTTCAAAAATTATTTCATCTGACTTGGCTGGTAGCAAACAGATATTAATGTAAAATCGAATCGCAAGTATGTAAAATGAGTACCATCCTCTAAATAGCGCGACTGGTTGTACCATTTTCCCATCACTATTTCTCGGTTGTCCTCTAACCAATCCAACAGATTAATTGTAGATGACTAATTTAGAGTACTATAGCACTAGTAAAGAAAATAGTTCGATTTTCCAAAAGACAGAAATAACGGTGGGCGGTGCAGTAAAAACATGGTACATAATGGTTCACAAACTGATTTTGAACTATGGGTTTGCTGACGATACATGACAGTTACGTTAATAGTTAACTCATGCATTGATTTTGGCATCAAAAGCTCTCAATTAATAACTGTGGAAGTGCATTTAGAACACTAAGTTGAGAGCACGCAATAAGCGTATATGCGATAAGCAATAAGCTTCAAATGCGTAGAAGAAGAACATGACAGCTACGTTCATGAATGGAAAGTGAGTATACAAAAAAATAAAAATAAATGTTCAACATAGTTGAAGATGCTAATTTCAAATAACAGACTTTAGTGGTAATTTTTATACGATAGATGGAGTAGATGAAAGCATAGAGTTGATAGTTCCGTTAGAGTACGGCAGTGTGAAGATTGTATATAGATATTAGAATAGCGAGCTAGGACAACTTTTAAGGAAGGTACAAATCGTTTTTTTTTATCTCTCTTTACCAAACTCCCCCTTTGGAGAGGGATGGTGAGGGGTGTACCCCCCCCCCCCCCCCACGCCACTACTGGCCAGTGCAATTAGCATCTTCAACTATGTAAATCATTGACTTCACGTAGAAGTAATACTAAAAACATATAGTCAAAAAAAAATGTTCAACGTTTATTTTTCTTTATAACTATAATAAAAAAAAGCATTCTTGCTCGTGAGATTACATCTAAAAAAAAAAATTACTCAAATAAGGGTATTATCGAAGACAACAAATCATTGTATCTGTCGCTTGGATTCTGGAAAAGTTGCCAGTCTTCTTGATATGATGCATTCGGTATTATTAAAGTAGCCCAAAATATTAATAAATAAAAAATCCTGCCCATGGTGAAAATAGGTCATTTTTTGACAATTTTAATACCTGCTGATAATCAGGCTGTTTACTGTAGTAACTATGACAAAAACATAATTTGGGTACACCTATAAGAACTAACATTAAAAACCCTTAAAATTGACGTTCTAAGATCACGAATAGCTTATTTGGTTGTGGAGTAATCTCTTCTGAAAGTTGAATTTTTTTTAAATCTTGAATATCCAGGGTTGTAGCCCAGAAGGATCTAGGCACTTTAGAGCTAAATCAAAAAAGAAGTTCCACGGAACCGCTCCTCCCATCTTGCTGAACACATAGCCGGTGCTAGGGGCACGCATTACAATGAAACAGTGCGTTGAAGTTAAAATGCAATCAAAAGTACTTAAAGTAATTAATGCGTTTTGAAGCAGTACTGACGATAATTAAAATTATCTATTCGTAATTAATGTAATTAAAAGTATTGAAAATGTAATTAGTGTACTTTAATTACGAAGTTTCAACTGTAATTAATGTAATTAAATCAGTAGTTAATGGAATTATATTAATTACAGCCGTTGCCCGTGTTGGAGTTAAAGGTTATTGCGTGTCCCTAGAGCCGGTGGTAGATTTCCGATTGTCCACATCTTCTCCCCAATCCACATCCGTATAACCCGTCAATTGTGGATTGCCTTCTGAGGAATACTTAAAACGATTTCCAGACGTTCCTTTCAGGTAACGCATTATGCGTTTCACCGCTTCCCAGTGCCTACGACTAGGATTGTTGCTAAACTTGCTCACCATGTTCACAGAAAATAAGATGTCCGGCCTTGCTGCGAGCACGATGTACGTCAAGGATCCCACCGGTTCCTCGTATGGGACCGTCTGCATCTCTTGAACTTCTTCAGGATCGGTTGGACACATAGTTTTGTCGATCTTAGCACTAGTATCCGCTGGAGTTGAAACAGGATTGCAGTTCGCCAAGTTAAACCGCTCGAGTAAATCCTGCACGTATTGTTGCTGATCTAGCCAGAGCTTGCCTATCGATCTGTCATGAGTGATCCTTAGATCCAAACAAAGCTTTGCTTCTCCTAAATCCTTCATCTAGAAGCGATTGTTGAGGAAAGTCTTCAACTTCAATCAAACTGGACGAATGCGAAACCGTTGAATATTACTTGGAACTGTGTTGGTGACCACGGCGGACGATTTGAGCGAAATTGAATTCCAAGTCAATGACCAATATTTGGCGTCTTTGCTGTTGGAAGGGTTACCCGAGAATTTTAATCCGATGATTATGGGTCTTCAAGCATCGGGTATCGAATTTACTGCAGATGTTGTGAAGACGAAAATTATTCAAGACGTCAAATGGCCTTTGAAGAACTCAAGCAGTGAAAGTGCTTTCTAGCCGAAGCAGAAATCAAAACGTCCGAAAGGTGGTGCAGATAAGAAGAATTGTACCTGCTTTACCAATTGAGAGTTTAATTTGTCCAGAAGACCAAACCGTCGGATCAGCCTGTTATCCTGGAAAGCTGCCTGTAGCTCGTTCCATGCTTAATCGGCTGTTTCTACGTTCTTGACCAGGCTGAAATTGTGCTTCTCTCCGCTGGCTTGACCGCACGCCACGTACCTACACGTATTAGGACCATTTTCGTCGAAAATGCCCACGATGCATAATTCTACCTTTCTTTGAGCTTCTCCATGACCGGTAGACTTACTGCATTTCCGAAGGTCCAAACAGCAGTTGTCATTAACCTCGGAAACTATTTGCATATCAAGCGAAAACGTAGTCCTGTATTGTCGCGAAGCGTCATGGTTCTGAGATGTTCGATGACCCTGGAGGGACCGTTTTTGCTTACTGAGCAGAACATCATGGGTTTAATCCCAAGCTATCCGTCATGACTCTTAAAATTCATGATCACTAAACAAAATGAATATTTTCTTTCGATAGTCGGCTATCGAGAGAATAAATGAACAACAAATAAACAATATATACTTTTGGTTGCATCGCCAACTTGAGGTGAATCCTAACCGAATACCCTACCCAGCCCTCCAACTCCGTAGCACTTATGAGGGTGTCGCTAAGTCGGTGGCCTCTCGTTAAGTAAGTACAACATTTCCTTCCCTATTCCTAGTTATGATAAAGATGGGCGTGGCCGGGAATAGCAACAGTCATGCATCTGTTACTCTTGTTTAGATTGGAACCAATGTTTACTCCCCAGCATTATTTCTGAAAGTAGTCTAACTGAGAATTTCAGAAGAGACGTGAGTGTCGCTAGTATCCAATCTACGAAGTATATTATAACAACGCTAACGCTAACAAAGGTCCAAACAGCAGTTGTTGACCGCACACCGCCTCCACTGGTAGCTGCGCCATCGCCACCGGTTGTCCTCGTACTTTCGCCTTGAGAACTTGGTCCATCCCTCGGGATCATTTCAGGAACTTGCACGAACTACTGGGTTTAGTTTCGACTTAAAAAAGAGAAGATGATCCATCAACCTGTTTTACATTCAACTCATCCACCGGATCGATCGGGGCTAGAATATATTTTCCTCCGTCAAACATTCCGTGTTATCTACCAAATGGAAAAATGGAAGGGATTTTCACACTTTACACATTCCTTAAAAAAAATGCCATAAAGCTAAGTAGGGATTCAACTTCATCTACCACTTCACTCCGGTGTTCATCGAGATACATTATGATCTACTTTCGATCAATGTTCCGATGGTCTACCAGACGCACCATAATTAATTTCCGACCATTGTTCCGGTAGTCTTCCAGAGCATTTGTGAGTAACATTCCGGTGGTCTTCCAGACGCACCTTGGACCATTGTAGGTCACAAACCACTGACACCAATATTCTGGCGGTCTTCTAGCCACGCCATCGCATTTTTAGGTTATTTCGATTCTTTCGACATCCATATTTCAGTCAAGAGAAAAAAAATAAATCTCCAGTTCTTCGATTAGTAATCCTCCTGACAGGATCGCCAATGTAGGGTTCCACCTATCCGGAGAAAGCCTGATTGTCCCGGGGTATGGTTTGGTGTCCGTTGTGGGAGTTCTCCTTATAGACTCAGAAACTACTGAACCAATCAGCGTGAAAATTTGTATGCAGGGGTTTTTGGGGCTGGGAAAGGTTCTTATGATGGTTCGAGACCCCTCCCCCTCTGTAGGAGGGGGGTGGGCTCCCATACAAATGAATCAGAAAATATAGCATGCTTTTTTTAATCAGCGCATAAACTCAAGCTAACATTGAATCCCGAGCAAGGCACACTCAGCTAGTACAATATAACCTGGAAATCATCTTATAAAACCTGGAAAATTCAGGGAATATTATTTAGCCAAATTAGTAGACACCCTGTAGATAGAAAATGACAATCAAACGTCAAAAAGCTCTATAGAACAACACCTTCGAATTGCTCAAAAATTAAAACAAAATGTAGACATCGATTTGACTATAAGATCCTACACATTGCAGGAAGAATGATCACGCTAAAAAAGTTGAAAATAGCGTTTGATTACAAGAAAAAACGACTTGGCCTTAAACAAGAAACATTTAAGTGACTGGCTTGAAAAACGTGACCAAGTCACTAAAAAGTTACTCGCTACCAGCCCTGTTGTTACGTATAGCATATGATGTGATTAAGCTTTACGAACATATTTGAATACACATCTTTTGATAAAATATCCTATAATATAGATAATGTTTTCAATAACTGATTTATAAATAAAAAAGAAAAGATTATAAAAATTAATTACTATAAATGATAATTTAAATGATATTGAAAATATTTCATTTGATGAAAGAGATGTTACATAAATAAGTTCAACATGAAAATAAGAGAATCAAAACTCCAGATGAATTTTGACGTGCTAGATCATCCACAACAAAATTCTTAATTTTTGTACTTTTATGGCCGATTTCTATCGAAAAAAAGCTCCTTAAAAAAAGCATCAGCAAAAATGTTGAACTGAAACGGTTGAAAGGCAACCATAAAGATGTTTGTAGGAAAAAAAATGGAATGTGATATATTTAAAAACGAATGAAGTGTTTCTTCGAATCAGTGCCTTGGTGATGGATTTTGTTTTATATAAATTGAAGTTGAGAGCATTATGAAAAACGTTTTGCTCAATTTTTCATTGAGCATGATTGGTGAGTATTAATTTTGAGGTATTCTCTTCAACGAGGACATTATTGTGAATGTTTTGGTTTCAAAATCAGTCTGCTGTTTGCCTTTGCACATTTTTTTTAATACGTTTCCTTGCGCTGCTAGGTTGGCTGCACTGAGGCCTTACAGCTTATTGTAATGACTGTGACCTATGGTTCTAGAACACATAATCTACTGCTAATAAAGATAAACGATTTCATAGAGAGACTAGACAGGAAATTAGGAAGAACAGCATATACATGTAACACACGCAAAATGGGAAGTTACCAGTTGTTGAGGAAATCGAAACCCTTGCTGTTGCCCAGCAAGCTATTCAGTTCATCGAAATTTTTGTCGTCTTCTTCAACGGAGGAAGACTGGGCCTGATGGAGACTGTCACTTCGGGAACTATTCCGGAATAGGTTTATTTTGTCGTCGTCGAAACCGACATTTTCCAGTGATTGACCGTCCACTTCATCACTTCCCATGGACGTCGATACCAATGTGGAAGCGCCAGTTTGACTGCATATGAAACTTGCCAATAAATCGCTGCCAGGACCATTTGACTTGATTCCCTGGATCAAATTGTTTTCATTGTCACAGGTGGGAGCTTCATTATTGTTAGCTGCCTTCGAGTTGGGTTTTGCTCCGGACGAATCATTCAATTTGGGAGATTTCAGTTTCTCTAACTTTTTAGCCAGATCCGCCTTTCTTTCGAATGGGTTATCTTTTTCCAGTGGGAAGATAGTTAGGTTGATTTGACTTTTTGTTTTATGAGCGAATGGTGCTGAGTGTTCATCCCGGAACAAACCGATTGATTCATCGTTAATGACCTTTCTTCCCGTCTTTAGGTATTGGAAAGTTTGTAGTGCCTTTCCATCGTATAGATTGACCTTCCGATCGTCACTATTTTCATCACTCTCTATAATGTTTCGAAATGAATCTGATGACGTAGAGAAACTGTCGAAGTATTTCAAAGTCAATTCTGGCCTGATCAACGTTTCGTTTATGATCTCAATTTGTTCCTCACGGCTCAGATCATCCCAGATGTGGTCATATGTGGCCTTGATCTCGTCAATATCCAGTGATATTTTCTTGGACAGATCATTGAGATTTGCAAAATAATCCTCGACGAAACCGCTATCATTTAGCCTTTTCTCCATCTAAAACGAAAATAAAATTAAATTGTTTGTCAACATTAATAAGCTAGGAACCTTGAAATTTAAATTTTTCAAATAAAATATTAAACAAACACGAGATTGCACAAGGTCAGGCTTGCATAGTTCGACCATAAAAGTAGGTTAAAGATCGCAATATGTTTCATTCACGTCGCCTTCCATACACACACACAGAGAAGAAGACGGCTACGCCCTACACGCACTATAATGTAAACAAGCTGCGGTCGATCTGAATGAAGCATGCAGAGCAGCCTCTCGTGCTCATCAAACCATGAATAGTGAAGAAAACAGTGCGAAAAACAAAAAAAAAAGTCTATCGAAAATCCATCATCACCCCGTTTTGCCCCACCTTCTAGTCTTCTGAGGCCTTCTCTTCAATTAGCGTCGGGCGCGGTGCTGATGACCGTAATTCACTTTTCTCCTCTTTCTCTGCAGCGGACAGATATCAAGCTTCAAATCATACACATATACGGAACGGGGGTTGTTGAGCTGCAGTGTCGACGACGTTATCCAACTAGAGTATGGTTGGGAAAATAGAGAAAATGAAAAATTGATCAGCTTGCGATAAAAGTAGACTATAAGAGTAAATTTGCCTTCTACCTACCAAGTTCGTGTTGGGTCAACAGATTTCTTCTTATCCACTTACTCTATAAGGTTATTCCTAATGAATTCACATTCTTAATCTACAGAACCGTTTATGAGTTGACCTGGGTATCGAATTATATTTGATAATAATTTCTAATACGGCAACAACACAAGCAAAAAATATTATCCTCACACCTCACCAAGCCGAGAGCAACGTAAACACTGGAACGATTTTTTGGATGTTTCACTCGCAAAACTCACATCATGCGCCGACAGCTTGCTGTCATTTTATTATAAGGGGTGTGCACTATAGACACTCATATGTAATAGAGCTGCAGCGAGACCTGCCAATTCTTCGGTTGTGACACACAAAAATAAAACTACTCACAGAGTTTTCCCGCATAAACGCGAACCACACAGCAAAAAAAGTTGTTGAATATTACATCGAAACTGCTGCAACCAGGTCAATCCATCGGTTGTGTAATATCACATTGTACGATGTACATCGATTTTGCGAACAAAATTACATCCATTGATGTAATATTGTATCTGCTTTTTGCTATTACATCATTATTTCATACATCAGCTTGAATTACGTTGATCGATATTACATTTTTTTTTGCTGTGCATATCCAGCATTTTACGAGCACTTATGGACGCCACAATCTGGCTAAATTTTTGGTAGTAAACATATGATTTGACGTTTGGATTGTGTCGTTTGACATGTAAACGTTTAAATTTGATCGTTTACAGGTCAAACGACACAAGCCAAATCTTATATTCAAAGTGTTTTTATGTTACTTCATACGCGAAGTTAGCGATTTTCAGAGTTGGTTGGAATTGCTAACATGAAGCTTTAGTGTGATGATTTATTAGCTAGAGAATGATCTTTAGAAGAGGGCAGGTGGATAGTTCCGTTAGAGCACGGCAGTATGAAAATTGAATAGAAGTTGAAAATGAAGTTGAAGTTGAAAATTAATGGCCCTAAGCTCATTTTCAACTTCTATTCAATTTTCATACTGCCGTGCTCTAACGGAATTATCCACCTACCCTCTTCTAAAGATCATTCTCTAGCTAATAAATCATCACACTAAAGCTTCATGTTAGCAATTTCAACCAACTCTTCAAATCTTATGTTCTCTTCCAGAAACTCAGCCAGATTGTGGAGGCCATAAGCGATCGTAAAATACTGGATATCTTGACCTTACCGAAAATGGTTAAAAGTTGTTTATAATCCCTGCTTAACTTTAACTGAAATGGTTATGGAACTTTACATGAACGTTTGTGTGATAAAGCTTTGGAAGTGAACCTTACAAATAATGGGTTGTTAAGAACCATTACCATTCAAAAAATTTGTTTTCTTCATACATTTTCGCAAAGAAAACTATATTAGAACCTTTTTACTTATGGTTTGACAATTTTAATGGTAATGGTTATCGTAGTCAGTAAGGTTCATGGGTGGTTTTGTATTGTCAGATTAGCGAAGTTCAAATTAGAAATTAACCACGATCAGATTACCGGAGGTCCACGGTACATAATTACAGGAGTCCCCCAAATAGCACGGTGGCTGATGAACTGATTTTCTGAAGGTGACAAGTTTACAGTTGACCCTAATTACATACAAAAAATCACTTTAATTGGATGGAGGAGAGCCACAAAATTCAAGCTGAACATTGCATTAGGTCCTAAGTAATATTGACAGATTCTCTTCGTCGACTTTCTCTTTGCATCACCACGGCCATGTAAAGACATTCCCAGGTATTGTCAGCACACAGATCGATAAAAGAAGCTTTTATCTAGCATTTAATACAACAAACACAACAAGATTCAGCTTGAATTGTAGTGCGTAGATGGCATCACACACGCGTTATTCGGAGGACTCCTGATGCGTGATACTTTTCTCTTAATTCTAGACAAACATTTGAAATGGGCGGAAGAGCCAAAATCAGTGCTAACATTTGAAAACGGCACAAAAGCCATTTGTAAACAAATGGTTTGTGGGCCCTTTACTCACTACTTGAAGTACACCCACGCGACACAACAGCAACATCGGGTAGGGGAAATTTTCCCCTTCCTGACGATGCTGTTGGTTTGCGTGGGCGTTCTTCGGGTAGCGAGTAAAGGGCCCACAAACCATTTGTTTACAAATGGCTTTTGCGCCGTTTTCAAATGTTAGCACTGAAATGTACACAAACCATATTTTGCCACATATAGAGAGAACTGTTCACAAGCTACTCGATAGACACGAAAACAGTTATACGAAAAAGCGAGTGAAAAAGTAGAAGAAAATATCATTTCAAATCATCGAAAACGTTTCCTTTTACATGGCGTACTTCCAATTTTCAACTCTATGATGCATCTGCTTCCATCTATTAACGTCTCTGTAAACAAACCACCTTGAAGAGTTGGATATAGTTCATTCAAGACAGGATATGATCATAGAGGTAACTCTAAGACTAGAAGGTCCCGAAATAACGTGCTCAACTTTTTGGCTCAGCTCTGGTACTCTCTTCGGTCCCAAGCTAATCGATTCACCCCTCGAAACATAGGAAAAACCAATAACCCCTCATTTTATCTGTCAAACTTTCATAGCGAATCAAAACAAACGTTGCGTAGTACTAGAATTTCGACTAGAATAGGGTACGTTAATCGTTTGCTTGGGACCAATAGGCTAGTTATGTAGTGAGCCAATTTAAAATCGTTAGATTCCAACCGGTGGTAGTACGGTGAACCATTCTTCTAGTATAAACAAAAACAAAATTATTGTTGTAGTAAACGCAATTTCAGTTAATATATCAGGCATAACATTTGATAACGGCACAAAAGCATTTGTAAACAAACTTTCTAAGGCCCTTTACACGCGAATCAAAGTACGCTCACGCAAGCCAACAACATCATATGATAGGGGCAACTATCACCTTTCCGAAAGTGGTATTGGTTTGAGTGGGCGTACTTTGGTTCGCGTGTAAAGGGCCTTAGAATGTTTGTTTACAAATGCTTTTGTGCCGTTATCAAATGTTATGCCTGATATGATGATTTTGGAATTCCGCCGCTTTCAAATGTTAGTCTAGAATTTTACATAATTATATCCAACCCTGTAAACACTACTTGTTTGTCTTCTAATGCTGTCAGTTGTTAGCTGTCAGAAGGCTCATGAATGACGGATGACAAATGGATCCAAAATTTTTCACGTCTTTATCACTCGTCTGGAGGATAGTGCAGTAAAAGATTTTCAAAGTTCTCGATTATTTTACTATTAAAATCATGTAAATTTGTGGTCATTCAACAGTGGAAAAGCCGAAGAACGTAAAGCCGTACAAGGATGGCAAGTGCTAGCGAGAGTTCCGATGAATTCTTCGATGCCGAGGAAGATCACACGACGTCCAACACTCCCAGTGGCAGTGGCAAGTGAGTAATCGAATACTTAGGTGGCATCAAAAACAAGAGAAAAATATCCATAAACAAGAGTCTTAAATTTGTGCAAATATTTCATGGATTTATAAATATTTTAGTTTTTTTTTTCTATACTTGATAAATAGTTCTGTAACTGCCAGGTTTTCGTTTGGCTAAAAATAACTCAAAAATAAAATATCTAGGCCTAATGGTGCTCTAGGTAAAATACTTTTTTTTATTATTGTTTTGTTTTTTTCGTGGCTCGGTTAGCTTAGTTAGAAAAGAGGCAACTACAAAGCAATTCGACACTGGGGGCGGTGGGTTCGAATTCCGTACGGTGAAGGTTTTTTGCTGTGGGTTTTCTTGGCTTTCCACACGCAAAACTGATGATTCTGAAGAAAAAAAAAATTTGGCGCAAGTGTAAAGTTCTAGTTGAGACGTATAATAACCAAAAAGAACATTTCTAGTGACATCAATAATCAGTGCATTGATTTCAAATTAACAAGTTGGCAGTTTGTACTATCACAATCTTGTATGGCGCAATCGTTGATAATACTGAAAAGCGATATCCCATTTTTGATTCATGGTTCAGTAGGAAAGGTCATTGAAATTCAACGTTCAACGTGCGCAATTTATGAGTAAAACGAAAGAAGATAACGAATGTTGCGTGTTTCTACTTTCATTACAACGTGAATGATGTATTTCACACTGTTTTAGGAAACGACCACCGAAAATACATACTGAGGCGGAGTTTCAGTATCCGGACCCGGTGGTAAAGGAAGCTGAAAAGATTAGTCCAGGTCAACTATTAAACCAAAGATCGCCAGCTGGTCAACAGTCGCAGCAGGTTATTCCTCAACACCACAGTCGCGAAGAATACAAGTTTGTTGAACCTACTAAAGTGGTAAGTTTGGTGATAAATAGTGGAATTTAGAGTAAGTAGTGTTTTTGAGTTATGCTGCTGATTTAAATTTTACAATAGCATGGTTTTTTACCTCGAATCTAAAACGTATTGTTGGTCCTTTTCTATTCTTAACTGAGTAATGTCTACCTTATACTTTCTGAGTCGTGTTGATGAACACATTTTGTTCATCGGGAAGGGATCGACGGTTCATATGTATAGGGATGGTTATATCATCTACCAGAGCAGCGGCAATACACACGAGGTGGGTACAGCTTTTATCGTGATGGCGAAATGCAAAAACGCGTGATTGGATGTTGGTCAATCCACAACAGAATGTTCAAGTTGAAGATCAAAGGCCGTTTCTTCAATGTTAGCATTATAAACGTGTACACTACCCATAATCGAATAACAGTTCCATATGGATAGGAAATTAGGCAACGATGGGATTGATATGCGATTATGGGCAGTACAGCCCTCACCTAGAAAGTGACGATGACGGTAAGGACGCTTTCTACGCGCAGCTGGAGCGAAAATACGACTACTGCCCAAGCCATGACGTCAAAATTTTTATCGGAGATCTCAATGCTCAGGTTGGCCAGGAGGAGGAATTTAGATCGATTATAGGAAAGTTTCACACACACCAGCTTACGAACAAAAACGACCTCAGACTCATCAATTTCGCCGCCTCCAAGAATATGGCCTTACGTAAAACCTACTTCCACCACAGTCTCACATATGGTACATCTGGAGACTACCTCAACAGACCGACTCACAAACCGAGCACGTTTTGATTGATTGAAGTTACTTTTCGGATATAATCAACGTCAGGACCTATCGCGGCGCAAACATCGATTCGGTCCACTACCTTGTGATGATAAAAGTGCACCAAAGACTTTCCGTTGTAAACAACATTCGATACCGACGGTACAATCTAGAACGACTCAAGCTACCCGAAGTCGCAACTGATTACATGCAAAGCTTCGATGCAGCATTGCCAGATGAGAGAGAGCTGATTGAAGGTCCCCCTTTAGGACTGTTGGAGTAGTATCAAAGCAGCCATCAACAACGCAGCAGAAGGTGCCGTTGGGTTAGTGGAGATAAATCGACGGAACGATTGGTTCGACGAGGAGTGTCGGACGATTTTAGATGAGAAGAACTCAACGTGGGCCAGCAAGGGATCCGTCAAAATGTGGAGTGATACAAACAGAAGCGAAGCTAGCAAACTTATCTTTTCCGGGATAAGAATTAAGCACTACCTGGAAAAGTTGGAGTGCAGAGAAATGGAGCAGCTGTATCGTTCTCAAGAAACGCGTAAGTTACCAAAAACAAAACTCAACACATCCCGCAAAGGCTTTGTCCCGCAAGCCGAAATGTGTCGGGTTAAGTATGGAGGTATATTGACAGATGAACGCGAGGTGATTGAAAGGTGGAAGCAGCACTATGGAATGGTTTCGGTACGGTGGACGAAGGAGACATGCCAACTCTCACGATAAGTGATGTTAAGGATGCTATCAAACAGCTTAAGGGGAAGTTTACTGGCCCGAAAATAAAAATTTAGTTTTGGCACGTTTTTATTTTTCTAAAAATATTGGGAAAAATGATCAAAAATCCAAGAAAATCAGTTTCTTCCTAAGATTCTTGACAAAAATTACATCTAAACATATTTTTTCTATCTCGTCACAAAAAATGGACTCTCAGCAAAACCGAAAAGTCGATGTTTTGTGGTTTTTTGAGTCAATCTTTATGCCTTGATTACTAACAAAAACAGTTTTATCACGTGAATTTTCCTTAGAAAATTAGAAAAAAATAAGATTGTTTTAGATTTTTGATATCTTTTTCCAAAATATTTAGAAAAATCGAAACGTAATTATGTTTTTCGGAGCGGTAAACTTCCCCTTAAGAACAACAATTTAGCTGGTAAGGATGGTATCGGAGCGGAACATATTAAAATGGATCCGGATAAATCTGCATCAACTATGAGTCTGGATCTGGGATACATAACAGCTACCAGAGGAGTGGAAAGAGGGAGTAATACCAACCGGTGGAAACTAACGATTTTAAATTGCCTATTGGTTCATCTATAAGCGTACCCTATTCTAGTCAAAATTCTAGTACTACACTATGTTTGTTTTGATTCGCTATGAAAGTTTGACAGATAAAATGAGGGGTTCGTGAATTTTCTTATGTTTCGAGGAGTGCAACGATTTGCTAGGGACCGAAGATAGTACCAGAGCTGAGCCAAAAATTACAAGGGACAGCCCTATGGAGGTAGAATGGGGTACGTTAATCGTTTGCTTGGGACCAATAGGCTAGTCAAGTAGTGAGCCAATTTAAAATCGTTAGTTTCCACCGGTTGGTGGTACCATAGAAGTAACTCTAAGACCAGAAGGTCCCAAAGAAACGTGCTCAACTTTTTGGCTCAGCTCTGGTACTATCTTCGGTCCCAAGCTAATCGATTCACCCCTCGAGATATAGGAAAATCCAATAACCCCTCGTTTTATCTGTCAAACTTTCATAGCGAATCAAAACAAACATTGCGTAGTACTAGAATTTCGACTAGAATGGGGCACATTAATCGTTTGCTTGGGACCAATAGGCTAGTCAAGTAGTGAGCCAATTTAAAATCGTTAGTTTCGTATTGATTGTTGGTGGTACTCTTGCCCCGTATAAAGTTAATTTTTAGGAATATATTTTTTGATGAATTAAAGAAAATATTTAATAATTTATTGTAATTAATATTTTAATCAACCATCAATAGTGACTTCTCAATGCTGAAATTGTGAAACAAAAAAATTGAATTTCATAAAACATTATTTTATAATGCCTTATTCTTATAAAAAACTAGCTTTTCAATACATCAATACAAAACAATTGTTTGCATTTTTTTACGACTTCGATAGAGATAGGATTGAAATGTTTTCATTTTTCAAAATATATTGAGGGTGGCACTTTTACCCCGGGTGACCTTCTTGCCCCTAGTTCCCCTACAGTAGCGTCATTTTGCACAAGAGTTATCCTGAAAGCAAAGGGCAATTAACGAGTTATTAACGAAACAGAAAGTCGATGAAGAGAATCGATCAAAATCATTTGCACCATAGAGGTAACTCTAATACTAGTACCACAGACAAACAGACGTAACTCTTCATTGTGTATCTTCGTTCATGCATTTAACGGTTGATTTGAATATTATCAGTTCCGCGAACTACTCGCCGCAGCGCTGGCATCGGATCACTTTGACGTTTCTATATATTCTATAGAAATTTTATGCAATATTGTTTACGAGTTAGCGAGCAAGCTTGTTTTCCGCGAGAAGCCAGATAGATGTCGTTACTGAGGTTATATGTTTTGAGATACTATGTTTTCAAGAACAAGTTTTTCAAAGAGTTACGTCTGTTTGTCTGTGCTAGTACACTGCATATAAAATTCACGTAATATTCACCTGAAAAGGTACGTAGATATTTTCCATCCTATTTTTCATGTGAATATTACGTGTTTTGGGAATGAAATCCTGTTCAAATGATGCATATAAAAATCAAAAGATTTTCACGTAAATTTTACCGGATCTACAGATAATATTCAAATTGGCAACACTTAAAAGTTACGTGAATTTCCAAGTAAGTTTCACAAGGTTTTACAGTTATGTTTAAGTGAAATTGTGGTAAATTTCGATTTATTTTTTCTTGAAATCTATGAAGCCAATTATTTTGGTAACAGATTTATTTTCAAAGTGTTTTATTAAAATAAAATTTGTCTTTAATTGATGCACCAGGAAAACCCAATAACCCCTCATTTTATCTGTCAAACTTTCATAGCGAATCAAAACAAACATTGCGTAGTACTAGAATTTCGACTAGAATGGGATACGTTAATCGTTTGCTTGGGACCAATAGGCTAGTCAAGTAGTGAGCCAATTTAAAATCGTTAGTTTCGTATTGATTGTTGGTCTTACGCTTGGCGTGTTCAGTGTAGGTGACAGCATCATGGATCACATTTTCCAGGAACACCTTCAGCATACCTCGGGTTCCCTCGTAGATCAGACCGGCGATACGTTTGACACCGCCATGGCTAGCCAGACAACGGATAGCGGGCTTGGTAATACCGAAGACATTATATCAAGAAGACTGGCAACTTTGCCAAAATCCAAGCGACAGATACAATAGCGCTGCGCTTGAGTGAAGGTGGAAGCAACGCATAGAAAAATGAGCAAATACACCAACCTTTCTTCTGAAGATGTAATCTTTGCTATCAAATTCGTTCGAAGCATTTACCTTTGAGCGGCAGATGACGCGTTGTACCTGTCTCATCGCGTTCATATGAGAAAATGGAAGAGTTGCCAGTCTTCTTGATTTGTTGTCTTCGGTTTAAGTCAGTAAAGAAATTGCTGTCTATATCAGTAATTTATTTGTTTACCTTTAATTTTTTCTGAGTTTTTCATTAAATCTATTTCAGCATTTTGATGAATATGTCAGTAAATGTCAGTAAAAAAAAAATAAATAAATGTTTATTTACTGGTAGTTAAAGATTCTTGATTTGTTTCCATGCGATGGGTAGGATTAAATTAATTCAAATTTTTACGGTGGTTCGGCCGGTTGGTGGTTTGCATGTCCACACACCAAATTTAAATCGCTGAAAATCAGCTTAATTATGCTGATTTTAGATTTGATGAAAGATCCACAAACGTTCCAGCAAAATAATACTGCTGAATTTTCCAGCAATTCCAACTTCTATCAAAATGACAACATTTTACTGAAAATCAGCAATAATTTCAGCAATATCTCTTAACTGAATTTAAAAAAAAAATCTGATATTTGGAAGCATTTTGCTCTTTTGCTGATAAAACTATTAAACTCGGTAAATCAAATTCGTTTTCACTAGGAGCGTCCAGCTTCTGTGATCGTTGATACAAATATACAAATAATAAATACAAACTCGGCGGGCTCTTTTTTCATGTATAATATATTGAATATATCCAGTATTGGAGCCAGTGCCTTTACCTACATAATTTTATTTATTTATAGTTTTTTTAAGCTCTTCCTCCTCTTGCGGTGTGGAAGGTGTTGTACGAATTCAAAAATACTTGCGACTGTGATGCTGACAGCTCTTTTGTATGACAGTTTATGTTAGCTGAATTTTTCGGTAAAAATATCGTTTGCTGTTTTCAGTAAAGCATTGGTTCACTGATCATGATCCAGAACTCCGTTTTACTGATATTAAAAACATAAATTTGGTGTGCACGCGGCTTCATGGCTTAGCTGAATATTTCCCGCGAACACGGAGCCAGATGTCAGTGTGCTTTGCTCAGAAATTTTATTGTTTTTGCTATGGTCATTCATGTCGGTTTGTCGGTAGTCCTACGTCAAAAGTTGAGCACGTTTCTTCGGGACCTCTATGGTAATACGCCCAATATACAAAAAGGGTGACCATTAGAACACAGACAAACAGACATACCTCTTAGAAGAAAATTCTTCAGAAAATATCGTCAAGCGTATTTTGCATGCGCACTAGCACCATCTATCATCAACATTCCCAAGCATTGATGTGAACTAGAGCATCCCTCGTTCATACCATTTTTTCACCAGTTGCTTTTCCGTCGTTCTGTCAACGCGTCAGCTGTGTTGAATAAAAACAAAACAGATGGAAGTCAGTGATGTCGGTTTTACTAAATTTTCCGTAGATCTATAGAATTGATTGAATTCTGCAGAAATAAGGATCCATAGGAAAAATTCACAGAAGCTAAGACTTTTTTAGGGATTTGTTTTGTTTGTTTAGTGTGCTTTTTCTTTTGCTGGAATCAAGTTTTTAAACGAGGTAATGCATCACTAATTAGTGCCCTTTCTACCACTGCTCATCACTTTAATGTGTGTACAGCAAAAAATATAATATGTATCAATCAATGAAATTCATTGTGAAGTATTGAACATCAATAAGGGGCTGTTCATTAACTACGTAGACAGTTTTTTTATTCTTCACCCCCCCCCCTCCTCCTGCATAGACAATTGTCCATATAAAAAATTTAAATTTGTATAGGCCGTGGATGATTGCCCCCCCCCCAAGCTGTCTACGTAGTTTATGAACAGCCTCTAACTGGTAAAATTGGTGAAAGTTGATAGAATATTACAGTCATCATCATGATTTGTTCTCGAATTCTGTGTTAATCGTACAGCGTAATATTAGGAACGGAATGACTAATGTGCAGCACTTTTGATGTAATATTCAACATTTTTTTTTTCTGTATTCGTCAGATGTGGTATGTGTCTCCAGTGGGATGCCTTGACCACTTATCATTTTCAAGAGCTGACATCTACTAACTAGACGTGAAAAAGAACTGGCATCACTGATAAGTTCAAAATTTTGTGGCTTGCGCAATGCTTCAGTGGCGCCACCATGACAAATGCAGGCACATTCCCAACTAAAAAATTATTTGCGATGAATGTGATTTTGAGTGTTATGTCTGTTTGTCTGTGATTAGAATGTGAGAATTACCGGGGGATCATTATTCTCAACGCAGCCTACAAAGAGCTTTCCCAGATAATTTTACCGCCACCTATCCACACTAGCAAGCTGATTTATGGGAAGTTATCAAACCGGTTTTGTGGACGGGTGATCGACAACGACCAGACCAAATCTTTACGGTGCGACAGATCCTCTAAAAGTGTCGCGAATAATAAGTCTCTACGCACCACATATGTATCGTTTTTAAAGCCGCCTACGATACTATTGACTGTGAAGAGCTATGGAACATTATGGACGATAACGGGTTTTCCGGGAAACTGGCTATGGCTAGGCTATGATGGATGGCGTACAGTGCTGTGTGAAGATATCGGGTGTGTAATCGGACTCGTTTAAACGTGCAAAGGACTTCGACAAGGCGATGGTCTTTCCTGAAACGTGCGGGCTTTAACATGCGGGCAGGATCTTCAATATATCCAGCCAGTTCATTTGCTTCGCTGATGACGTGGACATTGTCGGAAGAACGTTCCTGACGGCTGCTGAGCAGTACACCAGGCTGAAACGTGAAACAGAAAAGGTTGGATTCAAGGTAAATACGTCAAAGACTAAGTATCTGTTGGCTGGAGGAATCGAGTGCGATAGAGCTTGCATAGGTAGAAGTGTGATAATCGACGGAGATGAGTTGAGAATTTATGTACCTCAGATCATTGGTGACGTCGGATAACAACTGAAGCAGAAAAATTACTCGGGCAAATAATTTTTTTGTTTTCAAATTCGCGTGAATATAAATACATACAATTATCCGACGTTAAACATTGACCACCAGTGATCATAATCCATGTGACGCAGTCAGCCGTGTGTGTTCATCTGTTTAGTGTATGTATTTACCTATTCATTGGAGCTTTTTTTTATTCTTACATGGGCTATATCGACTACATAGAGCCTGCGGATGTTGACGAATAAGTTCTAAACTCTAAACTCTAGACATCAACGCGACTCAGAAATATATAAATGGCACTGCATATGGTGTCTCTGTTTGACAGTTTTAATACAATAACACGTTGAAAAGATTAATTGGTTTGCTTCTCTTATCGCATAAATTACTTCTTTTACTTGTAGTACGGTAGACAGCGATTTCACGAACTGCGTCAGTGCATGCAAAATGACGAAGACGAGAATCCTGGCAATACACTAACACCTGATTCGCAGGTATGGTACCGAAAAACTAAAACGATTAAGATGTTCTCCGCTCCAAAACAACTTTCACCTTACCTGCCTAATTTACCTTTGACCGAGCACCCGAACTATGTGCACTATTAATAGCATTCACGTGTAATGCGAAGAGTATAGAATTACTTCCCTCAAATAAACACATGCGAAGCCGGTGCCAGGTGTGTAGGTAATGGCAGTGACAATGTCAACCGTAACCAGTTTTCAAATAGTGTAAAGTGAAAATGCAGCAAGCATGAAATTTCGTTTGTTCTCTCTCTCGCATACGTTTGCAGAACTTATCACGCTGTTGGGTACTTTACCTTGTTCGCTGCTTTAATTTATGCGTGTTTCCTTCCGGGTGCACATGGCCAGTTTGGAGTAGAGACCTAGTTTTGTTTTGTATAGTTGTAGGGGGATTTATGTGACTTTTCCTCTGCATTTCACAGAACAGTTCAGTGGAAGGTGTCTACACATCGACTCGCACCACCCACCCATTCAGAGTGATCGAAGGCGATGCACTGAGCATACAGAGCATGACTTCGTTAGGACGTGTCGGACGAATCCTTGCCGGAAGTGCCAGTGTGGATGCCAGTGGTAAGGATTTTTTTAGATTTAGAATATCACACGTGACCAACATGCCATTCTATTTTTAGGACTGAGTGTAGGCAAAGATTCGATATATCTTGCCTCGACATCGTCCGCCCCGCAATCATTGATAGCGGTTCCTTCATCGTCATCAAGAGACACACAACTTAGCGGTAGTTCATCTATTCCATCGAGTAGTGGTGGTGGTGGTGGTGGTGGTGGTGTCGGTGCGGGTACATCAAGTGCTGAGAACGTAAGCACAGGTAAATATGATTCTAACGAAGAAGCACGACGCCAACGACAAGAAAACGCATCTCCTAGTGGTAACGATAATGAGTACCGAATTAATATGAATGTTCCTCTGCAAGGTAAGTGTTTATAGAAAAATGCATAAGTGTTATCAGTGTAAAACTTGCATGCCATTGATTGCTTGATAATTTTGACAATCTGCCTGAAAATGGTCAGAACCTAGCATTAGTTTTTTCATGATTTATGTTCAACCGCTTGAATTCCCATTGATCACAACTGGATATTTTATATTTGGGCACAGCACAGTATATGATATTTCAAAACTCGATTATTCGGCGTTTGGGCACCAATTTTTAGCACAACCAATATTGGTGATATTATCAAGCAAAATACGGCACATCATTAACTAGAAAAATATTAAAATTTCACGCACTCTATTCTAAATTTTTCCTGTTCCGACATGGTTAACTATTGATTTACAAAATGTTGCATTTTCAGAACCGGATGTAATAGCTAGCACTAAACTTGCGCACTCCAAAACAACAGACAGTTTGATATGTTCCGGCCCAGTGGCGCCGCCACGACGGAAAAAGAAAACCCGAAAGTTGTCGAGCAGTTCCTCGGAACAATTCAATATGAACGAAGGTCTGAAGCTTCCACCGGCAGACAGTTCTTCCACGGAGTTAACGGTTAAGCTGCCATCGGTTCACACTGACCGTAGTTCGGAATCTTCTTCAGCTGGAGCAGTCGGTGAGTGCCAGGCTCTTCCTAGTCCGGCGACGTTAGAATCAATTACAAGGGAAATTGAAAGTTCTTTTAAAGGACCAACGGTGGCCGTTGCTAATGGTAGTCCTGCGATAAGTGCCACTGGAGAACCCAGCGGGGAACCACGCAAACTGTTGACCGGATCTATGGGGCGAATATCGCACTCATTAGGGAACAGTTCAATGTCAGTTAACTCAAAGCCTAGTCCATCGAATAGTGTGAAAAGCAATTCGGCTCCTGCTCGGGTTAGCTCGATAGATCCATCGCAGGGATTGAATATTTATAAGGCGACAAAGGGACAATATGTTGTAAAGCCGACGGACGGTGCCTTCAACAAAGCAGAAGGCCCGTCGCGAGAAGAAATTGAACGTGTTGAAAGAATACGACAAGAAATAATGGGAAAAACAGCATCCACTAGAGCTAGTTTATCGGGAACAGGAACGAATAGTCTTGGAAGTGGAACAAGGTACAGCTCATCGCTTGCGAAACATATACATCTGAAGGAGCGGAGAAAATCTGCTGGCGATGAAGACATGTTCAAACAATTGAACATTTATGTTAAAACTAGAACGGACTCCGGTAAGCAATTGACAGATATGGAAATTCTGGAACAAATTCCGGTGAAAAATTTGGACACTGGTGAAAATTTCCCACTGTCCGCAGTTGAAGAGAAGTTACCACAGTGCATCAATCCTCTTTCGTTGCATATAATGCGACTAACAAGCCATATTCCGGAATCGGATGAGGAATCTGTTGGACCTCCACCTGGTTCAGAAGCTCCCCCAGGATACGAGGAGGACCTAGAAATCGAAGAAGAAGGAGGCCGGCTGAAGAAGAAAACGGCAAAAATAAAACGATTCTTCCGGTCAACGGCCAAAAAGACAGTAGATAAAGCAAAATCAATCGCATCGGAGGTATCCCATGCGAGGCACAAAGAAGACGTTGCTGATATTGAAGACGTGATGAATCCTGAGCAAAATATCAAAATTAAGGCATCCAGTACCAACAAAGGACCTTACGAATTTGCAAAACTACAACATGTACAGGACCTTTCCGGAGAGCACACGGGTGCTGTGTGGTGCATGAAATTCAGCTCATGTGGTCGCCTCCTTGCAACTGCCGGTCAAGATCGTGTTCTTAGAATCTGGGTGCTAAAGGATGCCTATTCATTCTTCCAGGATATGCGCACAAAATACAACGCTGCTGATCAGAAATCCTCTCCTACACCGTCACAGGAATCACTAGTCTCACACCACTCAGCGGAGGAAGCTATCGCCTTGGCTATGGCAGCTGAAAAATCTCCCGGTCCTTTCATGCCCAAATCCTTCTGCACATACTCCGGTCACACGTCCGACTTGTTGGACGTCTCTTGGTCTAAAAATTACTTCATCTTGTCCAGTTCGATGGATAAAACCGTACGGTTGTGGCATATTTCCCGTAAAGAATGTCTTTGCTGTTTTCAACATATCGATTTCGTGACGGCTATAGCATTTCACCCACGTGATGATCGTTACTTCCTTAGTGGCAGTTTGGATGGCAAGCTCAGATTGTGGAATATTCCTGACAAAAAGGTAGCTTTGTGGAACGAAGTGGATGGACAGACAAAACTTATTACGGCTGCGAATTTCTGTCAAAATGGGAAATTTGCTGTTGTCGGATCCTACGATGGGCGGTGCTTGTTCTACAATACTGATCAGTTGAAATATCACACACAGATACATGTTCGCTCGACTAGGGGAAAGAATGCCATCGGTAGAAAGATCAGTGGAATAGAACCGATGCCTGGTAAGTAAATGTGTAGAAAGGCCTTACGCACGCGAAGCTGTTTTTGTTAATTAACTGGATTTTTTGTTATAGGTGAAGACAAAATTCTTGTAACATCAAACGACAGTCGAATTCGCTTGTATGACCTGAGGGATCTGAACTTGAGTTGCAAATACAAGGGTTATTTAAATGTATCCTCGCAGATCAAGGCGTCTTTCTCGCATGACGGCAAGTATATCATATCCGGTTCGGAGAATCAGATGATCTATATCTGGAAAACGCATCATGATTATGCTAAGCTAAGTTCGGTCAGTATAGCTTTGTTAGGACATAAGAGAGTAAACAAATTGACATTGACGGTCATTGTATTACAGGTTCGACGCGATCGTAGTGACTTTTGGGAGGGAATCAAAGCCCACAATGCTACAGTTACTTGTGCGATATTTGCCCCTCATCCAGAGGCTATCATCAAACCGGAACCGGACGATGCAATCAGTGTGGACAATGTAAGTTTTGTAAATTCAATTGACGATCTGTTGTTTAATGAACTTTTTTTTCATATGCAGATCTCCATTACTCACCCGGCCGATCCACTGGTGGAACAACGGAAGAAGGGCTGTGGTGGATACGTTCTGGTAAGTGCGGATTTCAATGGTTGTATCAAGGTGTTTATCAATAAGACCAAGCCGAAGCATAGCAGCTTACCTTACACAGCTATTCTCGATTAATGGATGCTAATTCTATGACTACTGGGGGATAGTATCCTTAACTTGTAGAGTAAAATCAAACAATATTCGCTAAATCACAGAACGGAGAACACTAAAGTCAAGAAAGCACAGATGCACGGATGATGATATTATGACATAGGTTTTGCTAAATTGTTTCGCTGATTATTAATAGCGACTTGTTCGAGGTACACTCAACAACACCAAATAACCTTAGGACTAGCTAGCTGGACGTAACACACGCTATTACAATTTGGGTAAATAAAATGAATCAAAATGGGAAGTGCAGTTACAGTGAAGAAGAGCGCGTTTTACGAAAAAAAAAAAAACAATTTCTTATTGTAAGAGTCCGTACTTTTCGTTGAAGGGTTTTGTGTTGTTCCTCAACCTGATTTGTGTCTTGTTCAATGTTGAAATGTTGTAACGCAACGGAGAAAACAGCTTTTTGCGTAGATCTTCCCCTGTTGTTAATCTCGTAAACTTAGTGCGCACATTTATAATTCTGTCTTTCCGTATCTCCTGAAGTCCTCAATAATATAGTTTCCACTTCCAAAGCCTGTGTATCAAGCAAGGTGTATTATAGGTTCGTTTAATTGTGAAGCTTATGGTTTTGATATAGGTAGTTGTATTTTTGGGATAATTAAGGAAGATAACAATGTCACTAACGAAGAAACCGATGTGTCTGTCATAACGTGAAGACGTATAGAATGCATGAATCAGAAAAGAGCAACCGTGTAATATTCAAATTTACTGTTACAAACTGTGTAGATCATCAGACAACGTTTACCTAATTTATTAATGTGTATATATATATTGAATCTAAAAATTTGATATATTGTTGTACTTTGTTATTTTTTTGAAAATATGAGAAAATCCACTTACTTAATATTAGTCTAGTAACTCAACTGGTTGAAATGCCACGTTTCTCGCAAAGGTGGGCGCACAACAAGGCGAGATTTATGATAGAAGAATTTCACATGATGAATTTTTCCCATTAGTACGTCAGAGTTCTCTTTTAAGTTGGCAAAACGATTGGACAAATAATTCTCTTGGGCGGTGGTTACATTCCATTATTCCAAATGTTTCTTCGAGAGCGTGGTTCAAAGGTCTGGATGTAAGTCGGGGATCCATTCGAGTGATGTCAAGACTTATGTCCAACCAATACTCGCTAGACGCACATCTCTATAGAATAAATCTCGTTGACAGCAATATATGTAGGTGCAGAACCGGTTATGATGACATCGATCACGCAGTTTGGACGATGCAATGGTATTGCCCGGGTAATGACGCCTCCAGAGCACGACTATTGGATACCCTAGTGGCCCGAGGTAGACAACCCTTCCGTGAAGTAAGAGATGTATTGGGAACACGTGATCTTCCCTACATGCAAGCGATCTACGAATTCCTTTGTTTGTCTGATGTTAGAGTTTGATGTGACTATCCCCTCCTTTCCAAACAATTTCCCGCCATTGTGTCCCAGTCTTATTATCTTCCTGTTCCTGTGCTACTTGCCCCTGACCAGTCAGGATTTGGTCAACCGTCCGAGAGTAGTATCTGAAGGAGGCTTCAGAAACCAGTTTCCTACCTAGATCCTTCCAATTGAAATTGTTACCCATTTACCTCGAGCCCGCCACGAGTAATTGGTACCCAATACTAAACTAGAAATACTGCTATTTAAAATGTAAATCAAACATTACTGATTTTGGCTCCGCAAAGTGTCACACACGACTGAGCCTAGTAAATAAACGAACTAGTTAAAAAAAAATGCCACGTTTGTCGTTCCGATTTGCATATCCATAGTTAGTACTCCCAGTTTTTAGACATTTATCTTTCATCTGAGTAGAAGTGACTCTCTCTCTGAGTTAGTCTCATTGGCCGTGTAGAATAGGTCTAGTTAATTTGAAATACATTGTCAAAAAATGGCACCTTATATTTCGGCGAGATGTCTTGTAAAAGCTAACAATTTTAAATTATGTTCCACACTAGCTGTCAAGTAAAAGTAAATAATTAGAAGTAGAATGACGAATTAGAAAGCTGAAAGTTATAATTGAGGAAACCTTTCCGAAGCGTGCTGGCTGCCTACACCATACGGTGAGGTAAAGGTAGACAACGCTGAAGAAATACAAGTTCTAATGAGGAACTCATATTATGTAGTGGCAAAATGATTGAAAGTGAAGAATACCCAATGAGGCCTTGTAACGTGCCAGTGCGGTGTTACTCCCAACACTGATGAGACCCCCGTCTTCAAGCCTCAGGGTCTGCTAACGATCGTAACAATTCCACGAACCAAGAAAACACTTTCGATCACTACGGATAAACTCCCACTTTATTCGCTTTTGGTTTACACTTTACGGACGGTCTAGAACTTGACGTCTCTCACTTCCTTACTGGTCTACTCCTACCTTGCGCTGATACTTTTATCTTCGCTGTCTTCGGGGTCTCTTCACCTGCCGCTGCTCCTGCTTCTCCTCGTTGGCCAGGGGTTGCCGTTCTACTTGACTCCCTGCTTCTCGCTTCGCTTGTGTTTCGGCTGCAGCTTTCAGTGGACCCTTTCACCTGTCCCGTGCACCCCTCGAATATGGTGACGGACTCGAGGCTTCAACGGGGTCGTGGAACAGTTGGCCTGCCTGGTTTCGTGACGCACACGGTTTACTATCGGGGAACAGGTTAGCGATCGTCGATTCAGACACCGGCGTTTGGCGTGGTCGGTTCTACAAACGATGAACGGTATACCGTAAGCTTTACGGTGAAACCGCGAGATCCTGTGGGCGCGATGGAGAATTCTATATGGCGGTTAGTTACCCGAGCAAAAGTGAAGATCAAATTGAAATCAATATTTGCTGTTATGATGTTACTTATTTTAAATACTCCAGTTGATCTCATTTTGGTTGACTTAAAGGTTAACTCAGCAAAAATGAGAGCAAAATGTTACACTGTTGAATCAAACGGAAAACTAATCCTGCCATCGATTAAATCAATTTATTTTTTTTTTTTCCTTTGGTTTGTTTTTTTCCGTCGATCTTGTTTTCCGTGCTGAGCACCAATGCTACCAACGTGCCAGGAAGGCAGCTCCCACACCTGGACCCTACCTATCGACCCATCAACTCATGAACCGGGGACCAACGGCTTTACTTCCCATCCGAAGGAAGGCGTGATCAGAGATGTTATGCCTCAGAACATCCCGGCGGCGCCGACTGGGATTGAACCCAGGTCTGCTGGGGTGAGAGTTAATCACGCTTACCACTACACCACCGGCGCCGTTGATTAAATCAATTTGATTACTGATTTTGCATTCATGTTGTTTAACTGAATACGGGCCTGGTGTAAATGGTTAGCATCCATCCATCCATGCTTCTCACGCTGAAAGACTTAAGCTCAAATCTCACCCCGGGCAAAACACAAACGACCTAAAATGTGTTATACAAAATAAATAAACAATAATCGTTAGTTCAACAACAGATGAACTTAAATTAAATTTTAAACAAGACGTTAACAGCAGAACTTAAAGTTAAGTTCTTTTTATTTAAAAAGTCTTGACTGCATAATGAAAGCACACTATGATATCAGACTTCTGTCTCGGCAATTGAAATCAAAATTAGTTTTCATTATGCAAACTTTATTATCGATTTGCTTTCATTTTGTTGACCGACTTTGCTCGGGTAGGCACACGATCGGTTCTCAGTAGACGACGGTCGGGTCTGGGTCCGGATTTTTTTGGTGACTGTAATTACCTGGATGTTCAACGGTACGTGGCAGCTTTCTCTACGCTTCCTTTCTGTTTAACTCCACTTTACTATCACATGAATAGAAAATTCTGCTTTTCGCCTATTTCTACTTGACTTTTCTGTATAGCTTTCTTGCGACTATCGTCTGCATAGATCACCAGGCTAATGACTGTGCCTCTTGGTGAACGATGACCCCGAACCGTGGCCGTTGAACCGTCGTACGTGCCATGATTTCTCCTCGCAATAGTCCCCATTACGCCACCCCTATGGCCGTCTTACATTTTATAGGGAAGTGTCTCCTACTGGCTGCGTTCGTGGTGATTCTGGGACGTTCTACCTTTTACAAATATGCAAACCTTTTCTTGGAGTTTAATATCAAAATATACAAAACCTACACGTGATTAATCTAACCAACCTTCGATGCGACACTTACACTTGTTACAGCCTTAAAAACAGTGATCCAGGCGTTCCCTGACATGTTCAGGGTGCTGCTGCAGAAATATCTAGTCACTTCCCGGTTGGAGGCGAACCAGCCTAAGGCTGAAAGCCTCCTAAATAAAGCTAAATAATAATAATAGTCACTTCCCAAATATATGTAAGAGAAACAAATTAATATTCACGCAGAGAAATGATGTTTGAATTCAAATAGATATACTTTTGACTCAGGGCCTAATATGTTTTTGGTAGTTATTCAAATACATTATTCTATTAATTCAACAAAAATATGTTTGAATCAACAAACCGGTTGTAGAGTCGATAATCCGTTTGTTAATTCTAAAAACCATTTTGTTGATTCAAAAATATGTTTTGTTGGAATAGTGATACAATGTTTTGAATCAATAACAAAATACATTAGGCTCTGAAACAAAAATCCATTTTTCTGCGTATTGTTGTCGAAACCAGGAATGCCTCCAGGGGATCCTGATGAAATGTGTGTAGAGCGAGCATGGTTTATCGAAGATGCAGTTCAGATTTCGGTAAGGTAGATTGGCGTGAATCGCGGAAGCTTTGCTGTTCCCTGACTACTTATGCAGGATTCTGAAAAGCTATTTTAAGCTGGTCTACAAGACATAGGAGTGTCTGGACCTAAAGAATGCAAAGGTAGTGTTGTTTGAATTCATAGTGTATGAATCCGCATTATAAGACATCTATCTATGTAGTTAGTTTTAATTAAAAAATATCCTAATACATTTATTAACATTGTTCTTGATTTCCTTCTGCTACTGAATGGGATAACCTCAATCGCGCGTAATCTATTGTTTGATTAGTGGCTATTGATTTATTTTATTTCGATTGTTTGTAAAAGTTGACTACACAGATATAGATAATTTAATTGAGTTTTACTATGTCATGTAGATGATTTTTTTTCCTTTCCGTAGTTTTGATCCTGTAATATCAGATTGTGACCAAATGTAGTGCAACTTGTTTCAAAAAATGAAGAGAGTAAAAATGGGGGCATTAAAAGTTCTGTTCCGAACGCGTAGAAGTAAAATTTAATGAAGTCGTAAGCAGGGCCGAATTCGAGGAAGAGCAAAGGCGGCAATTTCCCCGGGCTCCTTGGCCATAAAGGCTGAGCAAATATTTGTTGTATTTTTTAAGTTTTCATATTTTTTTCTGCTAATGCCAATAATTTTTATTTTACGTTCACTCATAAAGTTTACTTCTGAACCCCTGCGCTTTGGTCAGAGAGTACGAGAGAGTGATTGCCGTTAGATTAAAAGCTAAATTAAAAGTGCCTGAGATAAATGCAAGTACTTTCGTGGATTCCTCCAAGTTGCGATAGTGAAGATATAATCACAGGCGATTTTAATGGTCAATTAAACTGTTTCTTAGTTGTTAGTTCCGCCACCTGTGGCGCGCATAACCAATACCCTTGCGTTTGACCTTTACACACTACAGCCAACAATCAATATGAAACTAACTATTTTAAATTGGCTCACTACTTCACTAGCCTATTGGTCCCAAGCAAATCGACTAACGTGTATCTTATTCTAGTGTAAATTCCAGTACTATATTATGTTTGTTTTTATTCGCTATGAAAGTTTGACAGATAAAATGAGGGGTTAGTGGATTTTCCTATGTTTCGAGGGGTGCATCGATTAGCTTGGGACCGAAGATAGTACCAGAGCGGAGCCAAAAAGTTGAGCACGTTTCTTCGGGACCTTCTGGTCTTAGAGTTACCTCTATGCTACAGCCATCTATTGAGTGTATTGCCCATCATAGTGTATACGACAGATGGCGGTAGTGTTTTAGCGGCAGTAGTGTTTTAGCACAAACGAAGTGACAGACGACTAACTGGCGAAGAAATCCATTAAAATAATGTGGTTCACTGTAATAGAATTTTCTTGGAAGCTTGTGCCATCATCCACCAGATGGGTTAGTTTTTTTGTTTTGATTTGAACAAAGTTGATTTTGTGTACAATGATTCTTTGACAGTGTGCAAAGAGTGTATCATTTTGTCATTTTTTTATGCATTTCAGTTTTGAGTAGAGTGAAAGAGATAGAACCAAAACATTCTAATACATTTGGTGAAAATGCTAGTACAATCCAGTAGTAGTGTTGCCATGTGGTACAATCCAGTAGTAGTGGTGTTGCCATGTGGTACACTGAAAAATTGAAATAGCAGGTTAGTCACCAAAGTTTTCGAGCCGCTCTCTCTGTCACTTCGTTTGTGGTTTTAGTATATGTACTATTAAGGTAACGTTAGGATACAAAATCAAAACATTGAGAAATATAACGCTTCACTTTCAGAAATGATTCACTTCGCAACCGATGAACCATTTTGACGGTCATATGAGTACCCAAATAACAATATAGTTCCAATATAGCTTTGCATATACTTACTTTGCTTGAGTGTGGTTAGTTGGGAAATCCGATGAAGCTATCACTTCTTGAAACTTTACCCTTTCGTATTTCTTTCATTCTCGTTTCGCACTTTGTGTATAACACCATCTCATACTAATCTCTACATTGATTCAATTATGTACGGAGCGCTCATTCCGAATGTTCGGTGGACCAGTGACTTGAGACACGAGGCACCTTCCAGATGACAATGGCAATACAAGAAAATTAGTTTTCGTTGAAGGAAGTATCACAACACAGGTAATTGCTATTATATATTTTTGCAGACAGTGACAGATAGTGGCCATAAAGATCTAGTGGATAGGCCGGGCAAAGGTGTTATATCCTAGACAAATGGTAAGTTGGTAGCACCATTAGTATATTTAAAATAATTATTAACCGCAGAAACTGTCTGAACTATCGCGTTGTTCATTACATACCAAGCAAAAACTCAATCATATTTTGTCGTTTAGTGTTGTAGTTTTGAGATGATTGATGACCCTGGAGGGATCGTTTTTGCTTAATGAGCAGGAAATCATGGGTTTACTCACAATCTCTCCCACAACAGAATAAACCGCCATCGCCGGGTTTCGAGAGCATAATGCGCCGTAATAACCAAAAGGAACTATTCCTTTCCTCTCGATTTTTCCGAAGTGCTTTCGAACCCGATCAAACTCCTCCACCGCAGCAATACATTGATCAGCTACCAAGATACGATATTCACCTGCAGCAGCTCATCTTCAGTCAAGACGCTATTCTCAAAGCCCTTTGCTCAGTCGATCCATTGAAAGGTCCAGGCCCGGACCGTATTCCACCGTCTTTCGTCAAGAACTGTGTAGCATCGTTGGCCACTCCCATTATGTCTATTTTCAATCGATCGCTTAAGGATGGCGTTTTTCCGGATGCCTGGAAGCTCGCCTCAATTACACCAATCTTCAAGTCTGGTAACATGCACAAAGTGGAAAATTACCGACCTATCTCGATCCTGAACTGCTTGGCCAAAGTTCTCGAAAGTCTTCTGCATGAGACGTTGTATCCAGCTGTTCAACCCATAATCTCAGAGTTTCAGCATGGATTTATGAAAAAGTGCTCGACAGTCTCTAACTTGATGACATACATGAACACTCTTATAGGTAGCATCGAGAAGCGTCAGCAAGTGGACTCCGTTTACATCGACTTCTCTAAGGCTTTTGACAAAGTCCCTCACGACCTAGCCATTATGAAGCTAAACCGCGTTGGTCTTCCACCGTGGATCGTTCGTTGGTTGAAATCATACTTATCATCCAGGAAGGCTTGCGTTAAGGTACGTGATTCCAGATCCGAGGTATTCCATATACCATCGGGGGTTCCACAAGGGAGTCACCTAGGACCTCTCATTTTCGTTCTGTTTATTAACGACGTGTGTGATATGCTAAGTTCATTGTTGTTTATTAATTTATTTGATAAGGCTCAACCGAATTAACTTTACAGAGCCGAGGATTCTTGGTCACTATACAATACATCTTAAAACTATAGTCAAAAGGTACAACACAATAAACACTTTATCTTCCGCTATCCAAAAAGCCTCCTCCATCAGAACTGGAGCCGCTTCCAGTAGTTTCATTGTATGGCAAATTGCTGTACGCCAACGAGGGTCAGAGCACGTCCATTGCAGCAATGGACGCAAAACGTGGTCAGCACTCACACACTCATCACGAATGCTAAGTTCATGTAAGTTGCTATATGCGAATGATCTTAAGCTGTACCGTGTGATCAAATCGATCGTGGATTGTTGCGCACTACAAGCTGATATAGAGCGATTGTCATCGTGGTGTCAGATGATTGGAATGCAAGCCAATGCTGCCAAATGCAAAGTGATTACCCTTACCCGCTCTCACTCTCCGATCATTTTTGATTACTCTATGAATCAATCGCCGCTGGAAAGGGTTAATGCCATTAAGGATCTTGGGCTCATCTTGGACAACAAACTACGGTTTAACGAGCACATATCCATGGCAGTTGCAAAGGCCAACTCCATGCTAGGATATTTGCGCCGCAATACTGCACAATTCGACGACGTGTACGCCCTGAAAGCGCTGTACTGCTTTATGGTCCGCAGTGTTCTTGAATATGGAGTACAAATTTGGGCTTTAGTTTGGGCTCCATATCATGCTGTTCATGTACTTCGCATCGAGAGAATCCAGAAACAGTTTATAAAGTTTGCATTACGACGTCTGCCATGGAAAAATTCCAGATAGCTTACCACCGTACGAGCATAGATGTGCGCTTATTGGACTGCAAACACTAACAAATTGCCGAGTCTTTCTCCAGAGGATGTTCATATTTGACATGATTAGAAATCATAGTGACTGCAGTTGTTTGCTCGGGAACATCAATTTCCACACTCCAGCTCGCCGTCTCCGCAACTATTACTTTCTGTGGACTCCCGGATATCGTACTGCTTACGGTTATAACAATCCTCTCGATAGATGTTCCAGACTGTTTAATGATGTGTGTGATGTTTTTGATTTTAATATAAGTATACCAGTTTATAAGAATAGGATTAAGTCACTTTAAACAGTCTGTATGGCTAAAATGTCAAAGATGGTGATTAAATAAATAAATAAGTAAACCATAAACCTTAAATGCACAAACATTAAATAAATATACTCTTTCGATAGTGGGCTGTCGAGAGATTAAATGGCTGGGAATGGCAACACGCTAGCTTTTGGTATGCTTGTTAAGATTGGAATCAATGTTTGTTCCCCAGCATTATTCGTGAAAGCAGTATGGCTGAGAATTTCAAAAGAGATATGACTGTCGCTAGTATCCAATCTACGAAGTATACCATTACAACGCTAACGCTAACTCATAAAGTTTAGTTCTGAACTTCTGATTTAATTTTATACGTTGGTCTGCCAATATAAATGGGTATTTCTAGCTCAAGTGGGTACACCACCTGTGGTCGATGTCACCGATTTGAGCCAAATTTGGCCAAAACGCTTTATTTGGGAACAAACACCTTTTTTGATTTTGCTCTGAAGTGCCTAAATCCCTCTCGACTACAACCCTGGATTTTCGAGATTTTTAAAAATTTCAAGAGATTACTCCACAACCAAATAAGCTATTCGTGATATTAGAACGTCAATTTAAAGGTAAAAAATGGCCTGTTTTCACCATGGGCGGGATTTTTAATTTCTTAATAGTTTTAGCTCAAATTTTCACCACACTTTGAAAAACTCTTCAATTTGATGTGTTTCAAAGGGCAAATGATTTGGACAAATAGTTTTTGAGATATAACCAGATGAGTGAGTGATAGTTTTGAGCTTTTCTGGTGGAAAATCAATGCTATTTAATAACACAGATGAAATCAGCGACAGCGTTAACAAAATCAACGGTTCGCGGGAAGAGCCTACTGCGTTCTGATTTAAGCTTCTTGCAATTATTTATGTAAAAGATGGTTGCAAGAGGATACTATCCTAAATGCTGCCAGCTAGTGGGAGTTAGATTGTAAATACACACTTGAAAAATGGCGTTCATGGTGTCAAGCTAGCTATATTGCAAATTATTTTCTGGTCAATCGAAAAATAACGATAAGCTGGTATATGACGTGCTTTGCGTTCCTTGTGCAAAGATAGTTGCCAACAAATATCTAAATATGTTGGTAAAAGCCAAATTGCAGATCATGAACATGAAGATAAAAGTTCGGTGAGACCGGATGTAATTCGATTTTGAAATCTGTGTTAGGGAAAGCGCTTTTCGCAGGCAATCGGTGATAATTTTAATTATCATAGCAACAGTTGCACATTCGTGCGATTTGAATAGTGACCTTTTGAAAATTGATAAACTCTTAATTTTAACAGATTCGTAGAAAAATTTCCTATCGATTGGCTTGTTTAGAATTGAAAGAGTTATAAATAGTCAAAACCTGACAACTTTTCGTAACGCGGTCAATTTTGATTTTTTTGAAATTATGTTGCCGAAAGACGTAATCCTACGTCAAAAAACACATACACAAACAGTGAATTCTTTCGAGAAAAGTAAAAACCATTTACGATAAATATATTTTTACTGTCAACCTAAAACTAATCTGCACGTCGCTGTAGCAGCTCGTTCACCGTCAATACATTAATGTCGTTACTTTGTAATTTAGACTTGCACCCTATGTCCACACATTTCAGGTGAACCGTCTGTATAGGCGTAAACTGCAAGAAACCGTTCTTCGAAAATTGACACTGTTTAAGTGAACTGTTTTCCGGCGTCAGTTCCATGTATAAAAATACTGCTGGCGAACTGATGGCCACTTCCAGACTAACTTGCATCACATTATTGGCTACATTACAACTGACCGCAGCGATAGTGAGTTTCACTGTGGGTTCCATCATTTGAACTGCGTTTTTGATTTTGCCTAGAAGTACAAAATTGTCAGCTATCTTTTTTCCATCGCGATATAGGTTGACGAGAAGAAGGTGATCATTGGCATCGAGTTTGTTTTGCCGCAGGTGATCATATATATCATACGATCCTATCCGTACGACAGTATTTTGCGGAACTTTTCTTGAGTGGAATGAGATGTTGCCAACGCGCATAAACTTATTCCATTGGTGAATATTCACTTCAACTGACCATTCTTCATCGGATCCTAGCGTATCTCGAACTAAGTACAAATCTAGTTTATTCATTGCGTTAATATACGCTACAACATGATTTTGAGCAAAGACGTCCTTTATCCAATATTGAAGGATTTTATACTTGCCACCATACTCTATACTAGACCAGGAAGGGGCGATCCATACATCGTTCAGCTGCCAGTAAAGTGCACCCATTGTTCCATACTCGATTCGTTTCGATCGATAAACTTCAGTTTCCGTTTTAACGATCATAGCTTGAGATACCTGACTAAGGTATATGATGTCTCGCCAGTAATTAGCTGAATCATTGGCTGGCATGGGCAAATTCTCATTAATCATATGCAGGATTGGTATATTTCCCAACGGACTATGTTGACGGTGTTCGATCAAATCTGTTAGTTCATCATTCCTGAGATCCCGTACGGGCCAACTTGTCAGCGCTGGGAAGGACTGGAAACCGTATTCTGAAATAAATCGTCCTCCTCTGTAGATGATCGGATTCCAACCGTTTTGAATATAATTGTAATAATGAACTGAAAAGATAGAATGTAAGTGCATTGAAAACCGGTTTCATAAGTGTACTCATACCATCGCCGTAGTGAGGATCTTGCGGGTTTTTAGAAAAGTAGCCATCTTTTATCGATTGATCACCGTTTGATGGTGAAGATATTAGGACTGTTCGCCATTTGTCGACTTTTGCAATCTTAGGCTGCACTACACTGACGTACAGTTTTTTATACTCTGCTTCGTACAGGTCCTTACTGGCATCAGTTCCGTACCAGTTTTGTCGTAATGCTACCTCATTTTCGTTGTTCGTTGCCCAGATTGCTATACTTGGATGGTACTGAATTCGCCGAACATTCTGGTTGACTTCGACCTTTACATTTGCCAGGAAACTATCATCTGCCGGGTACATGGAGCAAGCAAACATCATATCGTGCCAAATGAGAATACCTAGTTCGTCGGCCAGTTGGTAGAAGTAATTGCTTTCGTATACACCACCACCCCAGACTCGAAGCATGTTCATGTTAGCGTCACGAGCAGCATACAGCAGAAATTTGACTGAAATTGTTAAAGTTATTTAGAGAAGGTCTAGAATACCTTGATCCAATGTTCATAAGGATGAACTTACCATAATTTTCATCGTATGAACTTTCCGGTAGTACCGACGAAGGTATCCAATTTGATCCTTTCATAAACATCGGCACATCGTTAACTATGAAATAGAACATTAAACCATCTGAGGTTCGCTCTTGGCTAAGCTTGATGTTTCGGAAACCAATTCGGATGACCTTCTCGGCAATCATCGTTTCACGGTCGTGTAGTTGAATGCTATTGATCATATTATCCTCCCACTTCACGTAGAGATTGTAGAGCCTCTGTCGACCGTAGCCATTAGGCCACCAGAGCTCCACCGCCGTTTTATTGATTGTCAACGTATGCTCTACAAAAAGCTCTCCGGATGTGTCACTTTGCTTTTCCACGTTGATTATATGTTCATTCCCTATTTCAACGCCCCTGAATATGCGAAACTATGAATAAATTTATTGAAAGACGAAGTTTCTCTGTTTCAAGCTTACAATATTTTGAACATCAAAGTTCCTTGAAGCCTCCGACTGGTTGTGCCCGTTTCTAAGTAAACTCCAACGAGTACCCTCCAATGCGTTTCCTCATCAAATAGAGCAAAAGTGATATCACGAATTTTGGCTGAATCGTAATATTCCACCCGTACCGGTTTCCAAATTCCCATGGATGGAACTGCCAGGCCCCAATCCCAAGCGAAACTAGCTTGCATCTTCCGGATCATGTTGACGTGACATTCTCCGTTGTACCTCGCTGGGGGACATTCCGGAACCACTTTCAAATGACTGTAGTTGGCCGCTATTAAGGAAGCTTCCGTAACCGGAGACCGTATAGAAATACGGAGCTCAATGCCATTTTTACACTATGATCAAGGAAAAGCTTCAATGTTCCGCGTCGAGTATATCATTGTAATTTTTCTTACCTACCTCGTTCCGGAGTATCGATTTAACATTGAATCTGTAACGAACGAACATATTGCTTGTTTCGCCTAACAACTTATCGTTGAGATAGACTTCAGAAAACGTATCCACGCCGTGCAAGGTTAAAACTACGTTCGTAAAGTTGAGTTCATCCACGTTACACGGCAACACTGAAGAGTAGGTCCAGTTATCTTGAGCAATCCATTTTGTGGTTAGGTCATTTTTGAAATCGAGTACCGATTCGATTATCAATGCTTGCTCCAGTGCGCTGTATATTCCCGAAGGAACGGATTGGTTCTCCATTTTGAGAGCTAGGTTAATAGTAAGGTTCAAGATTAGAGCTTTAACAAAATACGGGTAACTAGTTCATACTTCTATTTGCATTTTCAATGCGCCAGAATTGGCTAAGGTCCCGTTCGCCTGATTTCTTTGATGTTACATTCTGATTCAGAATGATTGTGATTAGCAGCAGTACGACGAAGAGGAAGAATTTCAATGTGTCCAACATCCCCATTCAAATATGTGTTCGATATCCAATCATCTGTCGAGAAAAAAAAAATATCCTTTGTTAGGAAAGCTATTTAATTTTCATCGTGAGGAAGAGCATTGATGGCCGTACAATTCTTAGTTGTGAAAAAGTGAAATCCATTCTCAAAGTGCAGTTTGTGGAGCACGCACAATTGTTGAGTAAAACGAGTTTAAATTCACGAAAGTACGTATTATAAATTTAATATTGGCTGCAAGTTCATTTTCTACTTTGATCATTGAGAAAGTTATGCCTCAGAACATCCCGGTGGCGCTGACTGGGATTGAACCCAGGCCTGCTGGGGTGAGAGGTAGTCACGCTTACCACTACACCACCGGCACCTCTATTCAGCAATGTCCATTCTACAAAGTTCATTAATATTTTCAAAGAGTGGGTTAGAAAACAAATTAACCAGAGCAGCTGAATAAGATTTTCCATGAAATACGTATTTTCGTGAATTTTAACCGTTTTTCTCAACAATTGTGCGTGCTCCATGAAATCTACTTCCACGCATCAATTCAGCCAGGTCTATTCTACAATATTCAGTCATTTATCAAAGACCAACTTGGTAGAGCACTTGAAATAAAATTCCATGAAATACGTATTTTCGTGAATTTAAACCCGGTTTCATCAAAAACTGTACGTGTTACGTGAAACATAAGTTCATATTTGAATTCAGCGAGGAAAAATTCACTGCTAATGGTGTAATGAAATAATGCAGCTCTATCAACTCAGTAAAATATTGTTTATTTAGTTCTTGCGATTAAATAACATAATCAAAACATTTATACAAAATATTCTATACTCAAAACGAAATCTAGCTCGCCTATATCGATTCTGATATCGTACAAGATCGTCGAAGCTAAGCCTTTGCCAGCCGCCGAGTGTAGTCGTCAATTTTCGCTGGATGTGTGCCCAAGCTGCAGCAACTCGAGGGCACTCGCAAAACTTATGTTGCAAAGTCTCGATTCCTACCGCACAGTGCTGGCAGTTTGTGTCGTTTGCTCGACCGATGACGTTCATCAGTCTACGGTGCTCCGTCTTCGCGTTCACTAGCAGGAAGAAATCAGTACGCTCTCTCGACGATAGCCTTCTAGATTATATGTTCATCCAGATCTTTTTCCAATTGATGCCTGGATGGTTTCCCCGGATACGATCTCGAATCTACCAACAAGCTGATAAATCCGTGATGTCATCAGCATACGCAACGCAAAGATCACCAGCGCACACACGCTCCACCCGTGTGAGGAGGGGATGAATATTGAGCACGAACAGCAGCATCGACATCGGGTCTCCCTGACGTACGGGACCGTTCTATACGGAACGGCTCTGAGAGGTACCCATTGACTTACAGCCGTGATGAAGAGGCAGCAGCGACTCGAGAGAGCCAGCAGCGACTCGAGAGAGCCAGCAGACGAAATCCTGGTCGAACCCCAGAGAGAGCAGGGTCCGATGCATGAACTCATGACAGACCCGATCGAATGCGTGGTCCAGATCGAACGAGATCATCTTCCCCTTCTGCTTCCTTCCGATTAGCTGCGAGAGTGTAGCTTGGAAAATAGAGCGGTTGGAGTTTGCGCATTTCTTACAGAAGTATCCCGCAAATTCAGATCACAACCAAAACTGTTCAAACTTGGTAAGTTGTTGAGGACGTCAATCTAATCCGAGAGAGCTTTGGAAACCAGGGAGTTTAAACACCCTAGTGCTTTTAATGGCACATTAGAACAGTCAGAACAAGTAATTGCATCTAAGTTTAATGATTATTTTGTCGACAGTGTTTCATTGATTAATCAATCCATTGAATTGGTCGATGAACCTGACGAAACAAAACAGCCATTTAATAATAGTTGTAGATTTGAAAGTTTTTACCCAATTACATTAGATGAACTTAGAGTTGTTTGTTTTTCATTAGGAAAATCGACTGGAGTAGATAATGTTAATGCTAGAGTTATTCAAGATTGCTTTCATGTCATTGGCCACATCTTGCTGGAACTTATTAATGAATCATTGCAAACTGGACATGTGCCACAAATTTGGAAGGACCACCTATTCAAAAAGTTGCTGGAACAATTAAAACCGAAGAGTTTCGTCCCATCAACAAGTTGCACACATTAGAGAAAATCTTAGAACTTGTTGTTAAAGGCCAGCTGTTGGAGTATTTGAATAGCAACCCTTTGTTGATACCAGAACAATCGGGATATCGGGAAGGTCATTCTTGTGAAACCGCGTTGAATTTGGTGTTAGCAAAGTGGAAAGACAACTTGGAGCGTAAAGATACTATTGTTGCTGTTTTTTGGATCTTAAACGCGCTTTTGAAACAATTTCTAGGCACTTACTGTTAAGTACAATCAAGCGCTTTGGAATTACGAGCACTGCATATAAATGGTTTGAAAGCTATTTGTCTGACAGAACTCAACGGACTGTTTTTAATGATTGTGTATTAGGGCCCTGTTATTTATTATGTATATTAATGACTAAGGATTTAGATGACGCCGTTTCACACTTGAATGAAGATTTGCGTTCTCTAAGTAGATGGTTGAAGTATAAGCAGTTGAAATTGAATACAAGTAAAACTAAATTTATGGTAATTTCGCGGAATCGATTATATGAGAACGTCTCTGTTGTAATTGATGATGAGACTATTGACCGCGTTCGGGACATTAAATATCTTGGCGAGATTATTGATGACACACTTAAGTTTAACTCTCACATTGACAATGTCATCAAGAAAATTGCCAAGAAGTATGGAATTCTATGTCGACTGAAAAACGATTTAACTATTGCCAGTAAAATACAGCTATACAAATCAATCATCTCTCCTCATCTTGACTTTTGCCCTTCCATTTTATTTCTGGCCAATGCAACACAAATATCGAGATTACAGCGCTTGCAGAATAAAATAATGCGTTTGATTTTGAGATGTAATAGATTCACTTCCTCAACTTTGATGTTAGACGCCTTACAATGGTTGTCGGTGAAGCAAAGAATTGTATATTTGACTATGGTGTTCATTTTTAAAGCAGTTAACGGTTTGCTGCCTCGGTATTTGGGTGATCGAATTGAAAGAGGAAGTGACTTTCATATATATAATGCTAGAAACGCGGATGAAATAAGAACACCACATTTCTTGACTTGTGCTTCACCGAATTCATTATTTTTTAAAGGAATAAATGTTTTCTATTCGATGCCTAGACATATCAAACGTTCAGCAACACTTACAGAATTTAAAAGACACTGCATTTCACACGTTAAAACTGTTTTTTGAACAAGTTATCCAGTGATTTTTTTATGAATTGACTAATTATGTATCTAGACGAAGTTATCTATAACGGATTATTTTATATGGATATCTGTCAAAACGACTTTTTAACAATTATTGTAGCACTGCAAAAACTATTTCTGTTCGCCACGATGGTGATGATGGATTTTTAATATTTGATTTAATAGTAGTAGATTTAAAAAAACTTTAAAGGACAGCCCTATGGGGTTGTACGCAATGGTGACGTAGAACTACGTGGTCTTATATAAAAATCTTATTTGTTAACTGCAGCAGGAGCTTGTGTTTTGTGTAGGAATAGGAATTTGAGCGGGATTCTCTCTGTTTATACTCTTAAGTATGATGCGCTTGACATAGATGGCCCACAGCGGCTCACGAAGAGCTATTGGTTCCTGGAAAGACTGGACACCACCACTTACGGTGATTGAATGAGCACCGTTTAGTGGGACCGCATCGACTTCGATTTTTAAGTCTGTGTTAGGGAATGCGCTGTTTTCAGACATTCGGTCTTAATTTTGATCACCATTCCAACAGTTGGACATTTGGTATTTTTCAATAGTGAGCTATTGAAAATTAACTAAGTGTTCATTTTAGCAGATTGGTAGATAAATTTCCAATCCTTTGGCTTGTTTAGAATTAAAATCTATCTGCTATTGGTCGAAACCTGACCTCTTTTCGTAATGCTGTGTATTTTGGTTTTTTTTTAATTGCGTGGATTCTATAGATCCTGTGGAGATCTATCTAGCCCTGATGTATTTGTTGGTAGAGGGAAAAATGTAAACTTTGCGGGAGACGATGTCTTAACACTCGAAAGCTATTTTGTGAAATATGAAGTAAAACAAATCCTAGCTAGTTCTGCATAATGATTTTTTTTTTTGATTTTATTTATTTGTAAAGTCGCCGGGAAATACCAGCTGGCGATTTGCTATAACTCCTTACTTGGAAACAGGCTAAAACTCACAAACCATTCATAAATTTTGGTAACATACTAAAAATTCTATAATCCACATTAAATTTCATATGTAAGCGCCGATTGAAACAATCTTTTCGATGTCACTACAAGGGTGATTGATTAAACAAAAGAAACGAATCGTGCGGAATGAAAGCCGAGGAAAAACTAATTGCACCAATATATTCATGCCTACAATTCCACACCTTCTATAGACAGGTTGAGCCTTGATAGCTAGCTGCTTGCGGGAACTGATGACCTTGACCAATGTCCAAATAATACTCTTTAACAAATTTTTGGTGGCCCTGAAAAGGACCGTTTTGTAGTGATGGTTGAGTAATTCTGAGGTGGGTGTTCAACACGGATGAGGCTGTCGAGCTGTATGTCGTTTGGAGCGAGGGTGACACGCTTGGCATAGATGACCGACCCGCAGCGACTCACGAAGAGCTACTAATTCCGATCCATAGCATAGCGGTGCAGCTTCTTCCTCCTTTGATGGTTGCTTATATGGGCTCTGCAGCTCGCTGCTTGCAGGCAGCCTTTCGTTGTTACTGGAGAACAATTTTCAACGCCACACGCCGAAAGCACTGCTACTGCTGCTATTGCTGTTACTAATTTCGACGACCGAACACCACCGTGGTGTGGTCGTTGGGAGCGTGTGGTTCTGAGAATGGCGATGAGTGTGCAAAATATTACGCAATTCCATCCTCCCCATTCGCACGCGCCCGAGGACCAGAGGCGAATGCCACTTCGTCTACTTACTACTCTCTGACGACTGTGCTGAGGAAG